AAAGGATGTGCCTGCAGACGTAATCTTTCACTTCAAGACTAGCAAAAATGCATTTGTAAGGAGAATACTCGGAAAGGAATAAAGTAAACACATCAAAGCTGTTTCGCAATGCGTCTTACAGTGACAAAGTAAATGAACGCCATTCTTACTTTCACAATCTTTTATGTTATAAAAGCAATCTACTCTATGTAAATCAGTGTATTAAAGATATAATATGGCATTCAACTGTTTATTTGCAAGCTGCTGCAGATATTTTCATTTATTTATTAATAAAGCTGAATATGTCTAGACTCTGTTTTGCTTTCCCAACAAACAGGCAAGACAAATATTTGGACAATTTATGTCATTGCTCAGAGATCAAAATTTCCTTTCGTGAAATGATATATATTAAATACTCAAACAATGTTTTAACAATGAATACATAAACGAACAGCTTTTCATATTTTGAGTCATACATATTCTATTTACAGATATTGTACATTATTTAAATGAGTGTAGCAAGGTTTTGAAGTGATAGAATACAGTTAAGTATAAAATGCAATATAGATTTATAATTTATCATTTTGGCAACCAAAACAATTTCCAAACGATTACAATGTACTTGATTTATTATATGTGAATAAATGTTGTCTTAGTACGTCTTTATACATTGTATGAGCAACATTAATCTTTGCTGTTCAGAATGAAGATTCAGTTAGGTGATAGGATATTATATGTGCATCAGCACTGTTATGCTATTAAAGAATATGGATTCAACGAAGTATGAGAAGACGTAACCAAATCCGAATCTGAGATTGTGTTTATTTAGAGACAAAAGAATGGTAGTAGATCTAAGTCGGGATAATTGGATCAGAATGAGATGACAACTGGTGTTTTGTGCCGGTATAACATTTTGAATTCTCTTAAACTTTATATATTATTATCTGTAAATACATAAGTATCTCTTTTATAGATGCATAACAAAATATTTAGTATCAGATTTAGTAAAAAATATGCTAGAAGGAAAATTCTTTATCAACGTCACATTCTAAAATGACTTTAACATCTAGATCAAGTTCAAATTTATTCTTGAAAATGTCTCTTGAAATAGAAAAGAAGCATGTGTTTTGTTAGAAGATTTTAAAGACGCGCCTTAGTGCCAGAACGAATGTATTATATTTTCTATATGTCATTTTAGGGTATGACGTTAAATCTAATGAAATATTTTTTTACAGTTTCTGTAATCCTCGAAAGAGTTGTTACATAGAATATCTGTGTCTTTAACAGACATTACAATTGTTTCTAAACTTAATAATACAATGCCCCGGAAAAAATGTCAGTCTGCTATTTTTTAGAAAGATTATACAGTTTAGCAATGATTTTATGCCTCAACCATTCGCTCTTAATGAAATATGCAAACACATTTCTTTTATATGGGTATTAAGAATGATTTCTTTTGGAAAATTTAAATAATACTTTTGGCAGCAGATATATAGTTTTATGCAATTTAAATACAATGTAATTGTAAAAAAACACAACTAGATTACTCTGACATTTTACATCACAAACCAGCCAGAACAGAGCTTATTGTTGTGGAGCTGATTTGTAATCACTCAAGATCAATACTGATAATCTTAAATCTAGATTGTATGAACGGAAATAAAAACTATAAATGAACCTACCTAATCTGTCTTTTTTTGGAAACATATATATAATTGCGTACGAACTTATTGATTCGAGTGGTTCTTCTTTTACTTCTCTTATCTAAAAAATTAACAGTTTTCTACCATAACTGGATTGCCATTGTTATTGGCTTTTATGTTAAAATGCGGCGGAAAAGTTTTTTAGTTGTTTTATATTTTGTTTGTTGTTTCTTTATTTGTTTTACTAAAATATTCATAGCCGATTGCAATTCAAACTGATTACTTATTTCTTTTAATAGATTAAATAGGTAATACATAGGTATGTGGTCGGAACTTGTTTCACTCAATATGTTTGTATTATTGCAAATTTTCTTGTGAATGTTAAATGCCACCTGAGCGTCTGAAAGAGGTCGATGAAAATTTCACATTGACAGTCTCTGGCATGTCGTTTCTATATATAGAAGTTCTAGGCTGTTAAATACGTGATAAAAGTCATAGAGAAATCCTAGCAAAATTATATTTCAAAACATTTTACAGCGGTCAATAAAACTCGCTATTTGGCTTGTCAATGATTAATCTTCCTCTAACATAACACAAATTACATTTCACATCTTGAAATAATTTTCAAATTTTAAATAATATTGAGATTTGGCTCCAGACTATTCCAACAATGCCATCAGTCTCTTTCAATCTTTGACTATCCTAGACTTTTTTCAATGTGCAAAAGTAATCAAAGAGAAAAACTTCTAGGGATGTAAGTGAACGATACTGTTGTCACATATAATTACTTCCATTTGAAGGTATCTTACAAAATTACATAATTATTTATATATGTATCTATTTAAGTAAACCTGATTGATGGGCAAGGCAAAATTTCTCCGCAACAATAAATTTCGGACATCAGAGTAGTAAACAGTCACTTGCCTGGGAAATGGTTACGACGGTGTTCTCACTATAAAGGTCGTCCGGCCGCCAAGATATGACTAAATTTGTAAAATCGACGTTAAAAGAAACAAACATTTGAGCCGCGTCCCGACAAAACCACTATAGAGCGTTTGCGACCAGCATGGATCCAGACCAGACTGCGCGGATAGTCTGATCAGGATCCGTGCTGTTCGCTTAGCAACCCTATTACAAGTAGAGAAACTGATAGCAAACAGCATGGATCCTGATCAGACTGCGCAGGCTGGTCTGGATCCATGCTGGTCGCAAACCCATTATGTTGGTTTTGCCATGACGCGGCTCATTTGTTTGCGCACTACTGTCTAAAATATTTGGTGGTATTTTCTGCAAAAACTTTTTTAAAAAGAGGGCCAGGGTGTCCCTGTAATCACTTACTTGGTGAAATTTCTTTTTTCCCCCCATGTTAAAAATGATGCGAACAAATATTTTCACGATTTCCCTTTCACTAATGCCATTAACAAAGAGTAATTTCAGATAAAGATTTCCTGTTGATCAATGTCATTAAAAAAATCCAACACAAGAAATTTTCTTACTTTAAGTTAGAAATATTTAGTGTTTTCTCTTAATTTGACCTGGTGACTTTGTATTCCAGGTCTTCCCACCATCACACACGTCAAAACGATCATTGGGGAAAACAAAAGACTGAAAACGTTTAAAGTGTAAAAAGCAATATATCTGCTGCAAAAATATTGTTTAAATTTTAAAACTGAATGAAGTGCTTGAATGAACGGAAAATAGATATAGCTTTAGACCCTTAATTAAATACAATATTTTACAAATCCTGCTGAATTTATCAAATATAAGAATATTGTATTAACATAATTACCATAGATATAACCAGGTAACATAACTATGACCAGTTGTATTTAACCTTTAACCTGCCGGAAACAAAAGAAGTTAGCCCTTCATCACCAGTATAGAGCCAGGCCAGCTTATCCATGCAGTCTGACCAGGTACTATACTGTTGGTGGCTTAACTTCTTAAACTTGATATTCAAATATTGTATTTTCAATGGGCGGTTCCAAATTCAAAGAAAGGTAAATTCATATTTATCAGGATAAGAAGCGAGGAAGCTGCATAGGGAAAGGAATTCTTACATGTAATATTTGAGCTGCCACTAATAACGCTTTACACTTAATACGACATTTGGCATTTAAAATGTTTTTCTAAAACCTTTGATAAAACAACAGTAAAACTGATACATCCAAATTTGTTCAGTCACTGTATGTTTATGTAAAGAATACAATGATAAAGGCAAAGTCATCTTTCCTGTTTCAGCGCCATATCACCTATACTGTGTTGGGTGCTGTACTACCAGTCAAACCATACCAAACCTTATATGTAAAGAAAACCCAACGCCACTCAGAATATAGCTTTGATATTTAATATCAAACTCATCAGCATTTTACATCAAAATTAATGGAAACTTAACAATTAAGTATTATCAAGGTACATGTAATTGTGTATTTATTCAGCACAAGCTGTCAGTGGTGACAAGATGCTTGACTATTTTAATAATGGCTAAAAGAGAAGTTTGACAAAAAAAATTTAACCCATTCAAATGAAAATGTATTGCTTTCATATGTACAGCCAGAGTTATGAACCCTGTGATGAACAAGTGATGTGGATGATGACAAGAAAAACTAGTAAATTCCATTAATAAAGATCAACAGATTTCATATAATAATGTTCAGAGAGAGGTAGTTGCTTTTAATTAACATAGATGCAAAAGTTATACATCATGTATATTTTGGGTTAAGATATGGAATTTTTTTAAGTTTGAAGGAACTGTTATAGGTTTTGCAAGACACAGTAAAAATTTACAACTTTTATGCAAAACGAGTAAAAAGGGGACATAATTCTTGAACAATAGGTACAAGTCATTGAAATCTATCTTTTTTGGCATAGATGATGGAACAACTTACTTCAGTATATGTAACAATGAGAAATGAATGAAACAGAAATAAATGCACAACAACAACTAACAAAAATAATGACACTGATGCCCGCGTGGACATAAATACCATGTCAAAAGAGAGCTCTTAGTATACTTCTAAATGACATAAATATAGAATATTGAATGAGTGTAAGTTCAATACTGAATTTATTGCACGAGTTGAATAAAATTATATTATGCGAGCCTCTGGCGAGCATAATATTATTTTATTCAACGAGTGCAATAAATTCAGTAATGAACTTACACGAATTTGATATTTTATTTATCACATACCCAAAATAAAGACCGTTTAAAGTGAGATAAGAGTCATTTTTCATTGACGTGCCTATAGTATAACGCTAACATTTAGCGCGTCTTTACACTATGTTTGTATAACGCTAATGACGTCACGTCAAAATATATGCACGGCCGTGCAATACCATTTTTACGGAGTCGCAAAATCGGCACGGGTGTGTGATAAATAATTATATGAGAAGTAATAATTCTGTCATGAACAACACAATTTTAATAAATCTTTATATATATTAAAGAAAGTCTGTTTTGAAAAGTTAATTAATTTTGGTTCCAGTTTTCTTCTAAGCATTTTCATCTGGAAAATATTTAAAAAATGATTCTGTAATTCTGTGCAACTGTACATATGGCTCAATTCTTGATCTTTGTGCCTGTAAGTAATAAAGAAAATGTTGAAACTGTAAATTATGGGTAATACCAGATATATATTCAAACAAAAACCTACATTTACATGCAAAAACATATAAAAAAAATGTTAATTTACTGCAAGCTAATTCACACATTTATAATGTGCTCTTCTAGCAAATATTAGGTAATGATTTTGTTATAATACAGCTTGAATGAATAATGGATCAGTGCAGGGTTTTACCAAAAGTTTGAAATCAGAGATACATTTATACTATTTAATAATTATAAAAAATAAAAACATTGTCATGATGATGGCAAACAGATCATTCATTTATTCATTCATTCTTGCATTCATTCATTCATTTTTTCATTCATTCATTCAGAGGGAGGAAGGGAGGGAGGAAGGGAGGAAGGAAGCAAGGATAAAATTCCTATGAATTTTTTATGCTTGTACTTTTTATTCATTTTTTAAGACATTACAACTCAAAAATTATTTTTTGATTTGAAAGTAAACAAAAAATCACTAACTATAAAGCAGAACGTAAAAGTATTATTATTTTCCTACCTCCACTGGTAAATATCTCCGTTCTCAAACAACCCATAGACAGGTTCCATATCTTCAGCCCAGCGCAGTAAATGTTCAACATATATGTCAAAGAAACTTGCGTCACACACGCTTACATTACACAACAATGAATATTCACATTTCCATATGCCACTGAAACAACATTTGAGTAACAATATACACATAACATAAATCACATAGAAAAGCATACAAATACATGTTTTATATTTTGAAATCTTTTAAGCATTCAATAATATTTTAAAAAGAAGGTAAAAATACAAAATTTATTATTTTGCAGACCAATTAAGTAGGAAATTTGAGTAAGAACATTGCATTTTTTTTATTTCTTTCCTTATTGATGATCCTTAATGAAAATGTACTGGGTGAATCATCATATAATTTTTCTTTTTTAATTTTTCATTTTTAAGTTGGGTTTTACATTGCACCAACACAGAAAATGTCATATGGCTACTTGCCAATAGCTTTCTCACATGAAAGAATCCAAAGTCCCTGGTGGGATTTGAGCCAACAGTGATGAAGGGCAAGTGGTATGGAATCATAAACCTTAACCAGTCAGTCATGGACACCCCTCACCATATCATATACAAATGTACTAGCAGTTATGTTTTTGAATGATGAATAAACTTTATAACTTTGGGCTATATCACCAGTGATGAGAAAGCACATCAGCTGAGTAACTAATATGGAAACATCAAAGTTAACAATAAAGGCACTCAAAATTAAAACCTTCCAGTCCAACATGCAAATATACAAAGAATTGGAAATGCAAGCTGAGGACACAGATGCCCCTATATCCCACTGTTTTGACAGTCTTCTAACCAACAGGGTGACAGCAGGGAAGTGTAACAGCAAGACAGACAAACAAGGACAAATCTATATGCCCACCCCTTCTAAGTGGAGGCATAAAAAGAACACAAATCATTTGTCACCTTGACCATAACCCAATCTACTATAAACCTAACCTTACTTTTTACTCTAATATAAAGGTCAATGAAAAATAACGAGAAACCAAACATCTTAAATTCCAGTTGTAATATGATAGTGCTATTATATTATTATATATTATACCAAACAGAAAGCAAGTTTGAAGGAAAGCAAGAAAAACTAACAAACAATAAAGTATGTCTAGGATATAATATAATGTCATTAATATTAATGAACCACTAAAGATTAGTGCAGTCTTATCTTTTAGTCCAATAATCATTAATGTATAAGCAAATATAAGCAAACTAGCTATGGAGTAAGGTTTTAACAGTTTTACTATTTTATTTTAATGGTTTTAACATGTTGATGTTATAAAAAAAATATATCAATATATTTTTTTTAAACTGTATCAAATATTTAAATAATGATTTAAATATCAGGCTGTCAATCATCTGTCAATTGGACGCCAACATAAGACTGCCTATCTAGTTGGTAGTTGATTGTCCTGTTATGTTATGTTCCAATAAACATCTTACATCTGAGGCATGAAAAATATTGTAACCCATTTAAAACTACAAACTACAATTCTGGTTATAAAGCAAATAACATAACCATTAAAGTACTGTTTGCCCTTACTGAGCAGCATGCAAATATCTTTTTTATTTACAAGTACCGACTTACCAGCTATAGTTTCCACTAGCCATATCACTAACTATCTGTAACATTTTACACTTGATACCAGTAATAATATCATAGTTTTCTTCACTCGTTACATCTGTTAGAAACATGTACAAAATCACTGTCTGAAAAATATAAAAATCAGTTCATATGCATTGACAACTATTGATAGATTTTCTTCATTTTTTTCAAAATCCATTTATCAGTTTGAAATTTGGATCAAATTTTTAGTCTCATACTGAGTTATTAGTTACATAATAAGTGAGATTTTATATTACAATTACATCTCTGTAATAGTACATCATCAGGGCTTATTACACACATTACTTGCAACCATATCAATAACATTGGTATTGTATTTTAAATTAAAGGAACTCCACTGAGGTCTAAAAGCCCCAAAAATTAAAGTTTGATTTTTTTACATAGATCAATAATGGGGAACTTAAACAGAAAGATATGTAGAAGATAATAGAAATGCACACAGTAATAAATCGAAAACCGTATATGTTTGTGTTATTATTAGCTTAACTTGAGAGATACATGTAGATGTTAAAACACTTTTTAATATTGGGTGGGGGGAAAGGGTTCACAATTAAAATAATTATTCTAGATAAGCAGAGTCAGCGGATGATTTAAAATTTTGTACACAAATTATTTGTGCAGACTACATCACATGGTACATTAATCTCTAAACATTTCTTATTGTCCTGTTATGTCAAAAACCTCAGTGAAGTCCCTTTAAAATCATTTACACTAAGTGAAGTCCCTTTAAAATCATTTACACTAAGTGAAGTCCCTTTAAAATCATTTACACTAAGTCAAGTCCCTTTAAAATCATTTACACTAAGGGAAGTCCCTTTAAAATCATTTACATTAAGTTCAATTTCAAGCAAGTCAAATCCACAAAACAAATTTGACAGGCTAAAGGTTTAATGAATAGTTTATAAATACCTACCCAGCCATGTGTGTATTTTGAAAGTTCTGACAGTACTTTTCTCAAAAATGAGTCATACCTTAAATAAACAAAACATATGATATGAAGATAGCCATATATTACAATAAACTTGAAACAAACAGAAATAGCCTTTGTTACCACCAGTATGGATGCTATTGTGCAATGATGTTCACTTCATAAAATTATCTTCTTTTTTTCAACTAGTTACATTGGCTTCAATGATCAAGTGGTTTAAGTCACCTCTTGCCAATCAACACTGTAGGTTTGAATCCTGCTCAGAGCATAATTTACTTTGACAAAAGGGAACTAGCCAGCTAGCTTACAGACAGTTTGTGGTTCTTCTCAGGTGTCAACCTGTGCCTTAAAATAATGCACCTAGGGGCATCTGGGATCTTCCTCTACCAGTAAAGCTCAAGTAAAGCCACATGACCTTCATAATGCCAGTGTGACTTAAAAACCTCTTTTTACAATATCAAAATGTTTATTATTATTATTATTATTATTATTATAAAACCTAATGCTTCCATAACGTACCTATGTTGACTGGATATAGATATTTTCTGTAGACAGACCAGTCTATGCATGATGAACTCAGCCTGGTATTTCTGACTGTGTTCCATAAAGGCAACATCTTCACATACAAACTGATACAGTCTGTCCGCTGGTGCTAACCTCTTTGATTTAGTCAACCTGTCATCCTTAAATAATAAAGTTAATTCATTATTTAAATGTTGCAGTTCAGAACTGTATGTGTAAGTGGCCGGATAGCTCAGTCAGTAGAGTGGTATTCCTAGGGTTCCAGGTTTGAGTCCCAGTCAGGCTGCACATTTTCTCACCCTGTAACATTTGGCGGTCTACATGGGGCCATGACTGCATAAAGCTTGAAATTTAATTCACATAGCTTGTCAACATTGAGAAATTAATGCAAAGGATGAATTTCAATATAGCAGGGGGGAGTATGTCACAGTTCAGAACTGTTCACTATTAGGAGTGAAGGAGTGACGATGTGTAAGCGACCAGATAGCATATTCTGTAGAGCCATGGAATGGTATTCCAAGAGTCCAGTATCTTGTCCCAGTCAGGTTGCACATTTTCACACACTAAGAGGTTTGATACAAACATGTATATTAAAACTAAGTCATAACAAAAAGATCAAAATAATAATCCAAACTTAATGATTTAAAATAATGAGGAAGGAATTAAATAAAATAAACTTTCTGAACATCTGCACAAAACTTGTCATACCTTGAATTTGGAAATGTCCTTTTTGAGGTAAAAAATAATATTTCAAAATAGTTGTAAAATAAAGCCAAAATGCAAGCTGGCACTATAAATGCTTGTTTGTTGCCCGCTTTTGTAGGCATAAAATCAATCATAGATAAAATGAAGGGAGGGGAACTTTATACAAGTATAGAAATACATAAAATAAATGTATTAAACTACCTGAAGAGTATAATCATCTGTCTCTGGTAATTCTTTAAGCACTTCTACCGGTGTATCTGGATTCTGTGAGAGACTCTGTAAAGAAAAGTATCATACAGTTTTGATTACATGTAAATTTACATAGACCTTACATAACTGTAAAACCTGAAGGTGGTCTCCACATCCATGTAAAATGTTTTCAGAATTCTTGTTTATAAAATAATTGTCTTTTACATTCACCTTTACACTGCTGACTTTCCCTGCCATCCATTGTAAAGTTAGTGTATTTTAGATAAAAAAGAAGAAGGAACTATTCACATGTCCAAAATTCAAAGCTAAGCATATCCACTGCATATACTCAGGAAGGTTAAGTCTGTACAGATTGCATTGTAAAATAATTCAAATAATACTAAATTTAAGGATTCAACAGTAATTATATTATAATCTTGTCTGCCTGTTTGAATTTACAGACTGACTTGGCTCTCTTTATACTACAGGTCTATTATTTCCATCATTAGGGAGATCATCTGATAAGTCATCCAAAGGTTTAAAGACTACTTACTTTACAAAGTATTGTTGAAGCATCTTTAAGTCTGTCAATGGACAAATTCAGGAGAGACACTGGTTTCAACAGGATTGTCATTGACTGTATTTGCTTGTTTAAATCATCTCTGAAAACTTTATGTCTTGTTTCTTCTTCAACCTATAAAAAGTCACCAGAAAATCATAAAAGAATATATGTTAATGTTGTGTAATGTTGTCATGGTTGTGCAAATTTCAATTCTTTAAAGCAGCACACCTCCAGATACATGTTAATTTTCATAAAAATTTTGGAAATGTATTTGAAAGTAAAATAATGTTAGGTGAACAAATAAAGTAATTTACATATTGCAATCGGCACTTACAATCCATGAAAATTACCAAAAATTGGTCAACATATGCAAAAACAGCCCTTACTGTGTTAGTAACAAAGTAGATATATGGTGACAAAATACAGCAAAATCAGTGTTAAACTGCACATAACATGCACAATATAACTTGGATCTTGAATGTTTTTACCTTTCTTAAAATTTTAGTGCATTTGGCTCTATATTGATTTTCTTGAAATATTTTGGCTCATCTTAAGGCATGCAGCTTTAAGATATTGTATATTTTATGGTGTTGTTTTTTGTTGTTGTTGTTTTGTTTCAATTCAAATTATTTATCTAAGTTTTATGCGAAAAAAAGCTGTAAAATTTCTTTTTTTTATATTTGGGCAGGGCCAAAAAACCCTTCTTTGTAGGGGCCGAATATAGGCTACTTCCCCAACCAAACTAGCCTCTTTTTTTCCCCAGTTTGGTCCTCAAAATTCCCCAGTCTTTTGAAATTTCCCATAGAATTTAGAACAAAATTAAATGATGGTATTGAATTAAGGATTTTGACTGCCTTATTTGTATTTCCCAGTGCTTTTTGCTTTTCTATTTTGAAGAACTTGTTAAAAGTTTGTGTTAAATTTAAGACCCCTTTTCCCAAAGTATGCCAAAATCACGCATATTTTCCCCATGAAAAAGGCTGAGGCCCCTTCCCCAAAAATGGTGTTTTGGCACTGTTGGGTCTACTCCAATGGCCTTAACAGTTTTGTTAATAATCATGATGTATTTTAATACTGCCTGTTTGTAACAATTCATTTCATTGGTTTATCATGATGTTTATATCATATATATATTATATACAATGCTGCTGCAAATTTTCTCTTTTCTTTCATCAAAGAAAATTGTGCAGCACAATGTACATGTATTATCAATTCTTTATAAAGTCTTATGACAGGATCATTTATCACACACTGTATATATATAATAAATGTACATCATGACTTGTATAAATGTTCATTTGCTAAATTAATACATTAACCTCTCTCAACAGCTGACAACCACTTATACTGGGTCTCATAACCTATCAAAAAATTTTAAAATTAATATCACACATCTATATTTATCATAGCCTATGATAAGAACATCCATTTTTAAATCCTACACACTTTTCAAGGTATTTCAATTAGAATATAAACAAAAGCAATTAATCTACCTTCATACAATATTTTGCCCATCTTAGTGCATTTCTAATTGAATGCTGATCCCATTGCTTTACACATTCAGTATTAGAGGCTGACAAAATGTTTGCATATGTATAAATGTTCTTCACTACACCTGTCATGGAGGTGTCTGTTTATTTCACTACATTTCAACATCTACCTGGAAAAAAAACATATTAGGGGGTGAATGTTGAAAGTTGCTAGCTGTTTACTCATCAGTAAAAGTTTTCATAAAGAGCTAATTAAAACCATTTCATTGGATCGCTAGTTAATTAGTTACAACTGGTACATGTAACTCTAGATAAGTTATATAAAAGTTGTTTTAATAATTTCATTAATATTTCAACTAGTTGATAACCCATAAAAGAAATTTTTAATCATGCTTCAGTAATAATATAAATAAAAAAAACATTATTTCATATTAATAGATTAAAATATAATATAATTCTTTTTAACTGGCCAAATATCATACTTAAATTTAAAAAATATGAGATGTTCATATTTTCTGAAAATGTAATTATTCTCGCAAAATACTGTCTTCATCTGATTGACTTTTACTAATCATTGAAAAATGCTGTATGAAATGGTGTGTATTGACAAGTAGAACATGAGTCAGGTACTGCTAGAGCTGGCCAGTACAGCTTGCCACTTCCTAAGATTTAAAGATAAAAGTTTGGAAAACACAGACTGGATCAAGTATTCCTGTTAGTACATGTATCTTATTAGTCAAAATATACTGACATGCCCAAGCTAGAGCTTAGGTATGTTTGTTTTGGTCAGAATCTCGCTTCTAGAAGGGATATATTGCCCATACACAAATAGCGCAATATCTCATGATTTTCATCTGCCAATGAATTTAATTTTGTGAATAATGAATGTTTTCGTGGCAACAAAACTATTTTATAAAATCTTCATATTTGACTACTACATGTATTTCCCTAAATTGATTTTACACAGTCAATTAAAATATGTGATGATTACATATACTAACATATCGTCTGATCATGATATAGTTTGAATTTTATAGCAAGTTGACTGTTGGAAGTTTTTCACAACTTAACTTGAAGATTTTTACCCATCTTTCCTTCCATACTTGCATATTTGGGGAGTACCGTGATTCCATAGTAATCTCCTCTGTATTTACCCAAAATGGCAGACATTGGCAATAGTTTTTAAAACAAAGACATTTTAATTGGATCTTTTGAAATAATTTTTTGACAAACAATCTTGTGAAAAGTTCACTTATTAAATACAAGAAAAATCTCATACAAAATTCATGTATGATATTTCTAATTGAATATTTTCCGATATTAAAACATTAAGTACCGTGATATTATAGAACACCGGGCTACAATTAGTAAGACTAGGATCTTATAAATGCAAAACTTACATTACACTGGGTTTTTTTTTTTTAAGTATAACAGTGAATAATTTAATACATTCTTTATATAAATGTCTGGATTTACAAATAACAAATGTGTTTAATATAGTCAGGGTCTTTCAAATAGAATGGTCCGGAAACCCTTCTCAAAATAATTTAACATGTCTCGGCAGAACTCCGTATAGTTTGCTGTATGAAATTTTGGTTAGTGTTCAAGAAAAGAGCGAAAATTAAATACAAGAGCAACAAGAACTGTCGGAGGACAGTATTGGCTCGACTATTCAAAATGTTGTCACAAGGGTGATTTATTGAGTATAATAATGCTAGTTACCTATGAATGCATAAAATTGACTGAAAAGGTACACAGGCTTGTTATAAAGATGTTTTATCAAGTAAATCACTGCTTTATTATTATGAATGCATAAAAATGTCCCCAAAAAGGCACAAACTCTTCAGTAGTTATGGAAATAACAGCTTACAAGCAAAATTTTACTATGAATTTTTAAGTTGAAAAAGGGGAGAAAAATCAGCCTAAATGCAAGATAGAATTATGGATCTTGGTCAGTGACCTACAATTATGATTCTAAATGCATATGTGAAGTTTTAAATAAATATCTTTAATAGTTATTGAGATATGTAATACTTGCATGTAAACATTAACCAATAGACTAAGTAGAAAAGGGGAGATGAATCAGCCTAAATGCGAGTAGAGTTATAGAACTTGGTCAGTGACATACAATTATGACTCTCCAATTATGACCCTAAGCACATGTGTAAAGTTTCAAGTAAATATCTTTGAAGAACTTTAACCTTTAACCAAAATTTCCTAGAGTTTCAAAGGGGCAAATAATTCTGCAAATATTGCAGTCAGAGTTATGCAATTTTGCAAACTGATGTACATTGTTACTATAAAAAAGTATTGTAAATTTCAATTGAATATCTCAAGCAATAATTGAGATATTTGACTTTACAAAAAAAAGCATTAACCAAATTTCTAAGTTATAAAGGGGCATAATTCTGTAAATATTATAGGCAAAGTTATTCAACTTGTCAATATGATGAGCATTGTTACTATCAATAAGTATTGTAAGTTTCAATTGAATATCTCAAGCAATAATTGAGATATTTGAATCTACAAAATCTTTAACCAAAATTTCTAAGTTGAAAAGGGGCATAATTCTGTAAATATTGTAGGCAGAGTTATCGAACTTGTCAATCTGATGTATATTGTTACTATAAATAAGTATTGTAAGTTTCAATTGAATATCTCAAGCAATAATTGAGATATTTGAATTTACAAAAAACTTTAACCAAAATTTCTAAGTTAAAAAGGGGCATAATTCTGTAAATATTGTAGGCAGAGTTATCCAACTTGTCAATCTGATGTATATTGTTACTATAAATAAGTATTGTAAGTTTCAATTGAATATCTCAAGCAATAATTGAGATATTTGAATTTACAAAAAACTTTAACCAAAATTTCTAAGTTAAAAAGGGGCATAATTCTGTCAATATTGTAGGCAGAGTTATCCAACTTGTCAATCTGATGTATATTGTTACTATAAATAAGTATTGTAAGTTTCAATTGAATATCTCAAGCAATAATTGAGATATTTGAATTTACAAAAAACTTTAACCAAAATTTCTAAGTTAAAAAGGGGCATAATTCTGTCAATATTGTAGGCAGAGTTATCCAACTTGTCAATCTGATGTATATTGTTACTATAAATAAGTATTGTAAGTTTCAATTGAATATCTCAAGCAATAATTGAGATATTTGAATTTACAAAAAACTTTAACCAACGCAGACGCCGACGCGGACGCCGACGCCGGGGCGACTACAATAGCTCTCATATTCTTCGAATAGTCGAGCTAAAAATGAAAATTCTAACGACATGATGTATATAGATCATGGTCGGTAGATAACCTTATCACATGATTCAACCGAGACATCTTTTTTCGTAAAATTGGTCAGACTCCAGACCATTCTATTTGAAAGACCTTGATATAGTTAACAGTGATTTTTAAAGGCCGTTTCCCCTAGCCCAAAATAGGTATATTTCTCTAAAAATGCTTATATTTTCCCTTAAAATGCCCTGTGCACCCTTAAAATGCCCTGTGCACATTCTTCACTTAACAGCGGCTGAAATATCAGCTAGAAGCCTATAGAGAGCCTCTGCTATGTACCATGCATGTTAAATTGAATTGAATTTCTCAGTTGTTAGAATTTGATTTCCACTTTTCTGATTTATTGCGCTATATTTTCCCCTTCAGAAAGCCACAAGTTGTTTTGTTAATTGAAGAAAAAAAATCACTGAGTTAAGCAAGTCGTTATCATTATCATTATATGGACCGAACCTTTAGTGGGGCGAATAATGACTTTTAAAATACAGTCATACTGCGTTTTCGTGCAAAGGTATTATCCTTCAACAGAGCCCAGGGTCTATTTCTGGAGTATTTTTAATTTGTTAGCAATAATCAACAAAACTAAAACATGCATGTTTTTCACAGCAAAAATTTACCACAATTTAATCTCCCAAACAGGTGATAAAACAAAGGGAAACAACTTCTGTAAATATCTATTCAACAATCCTGTCCCAGTTCATCAATCTCAGAGTCACCGGTTCACTGGAGGTCCGTCTAAGTGCGCATATTTAAATTATAGAATATCACCATTTATTTCCATAAAACTGAATATAAATAGGGTATGATCTATCGTGAAAAAGTAAAAATGTGTAACTAGAACTAACTACAATAATAAAAATGTTTGTACATGTGGTATTACTATACTGTATACCGGTCTGTGCAGAATTGTTTTTTCGCGAATCGTTATTGTGTTACAAGGTAAGACTTTAATTTAAATAAGTGGCAAGAACCCAATTAAACCATCATTCCACATGAACGTACATGTATAATGTACTGATGGAAAGATAATTGATTATTTTTAACCAATTGTCTATTTTCGCGCGACTTGCACGTGCAATTAAATTTAGCAAGTCATTTAAATACATACATGTATGTGGTTGCATAGAGCAAAGAGCTTATTGCAAAATTCTTTTTAGCCCGACAATAAACCCAGTAACAAAATGTGGGTAGGTGGAAACAGCGATCGCCCAGTTCTTGCTCGACGTAACAGGAGCGTTAAAAAAGTTATGAATACTCTATTTTTGACAGTGATGGAATAGTGGCCCTTGTCGCTGTGCCTGAGAGGGGTAGTGTCACTGGAACATTTTACCGTGACCATATTCTCACTACTGTAGTTAATCAATACACAGGCCCGGCGTCGCATCAAATTACTACATGCGCAATACCTTGGTTCAAGCTTATTTAGAGGAGCAGAGAAATTGAGCTTTTGCAAAATCCCGCTTCTGTCCTTGTAACTTTCGGTTCAACCCATACATCAAATCTTGCCTTAACGGTTGCCGGTCCGAAACCCGTACTGCAAAAATGATTTTTTTAGGAATGGAGTCTGAGGCTGGAAAAGTGTGTATATAGAGGTCCATGGTGAATAATTTGAAGGATTCTACTAATATTTTTTCCATTTTCCACAGGTATGACTTATTTATTTACAAAAACGCGCTGCCGTTACCACTAATTAAGATGTGTCCTCATACATACAGGATATTTCCTGCCAGAGATAAGCCAATATTTATTTATTTATTTATTTCTACGAACGTTTATATTAATACCCTGATATTTCTGCCACTTACTGGAGACAGATATTCATTCAATCCCAAGAAAAATTGAAATAAACTAGACAAATATAACTGAATATCTAAAATGATATAAGTTAAATCTTAGTTAGGCCTCTCATCAGCTTTAGTCAGGACCTCGACGGCTAGAGTCGCAGGTTCAAGTCCTGGGGCCCGTCCTATCAACGATCGTACGACCGTTTTTATCGTCTTTATTTATTTTTCACCATCCTGAGTTCTTAAAACTTCTGCCGATGCCATGTGCCTTCTCCACGACGTGCACGTACCGAGGGGAAAAAAGAAGATTGAAACACTTTCACCAGAAATCTCAGATAAATTTTGGAGGGTTGGGCCTACTCCATGTACTCGGTTCAAAGGCAAGTTTAAAATCCTTATATAAATTAACATGTATAGTAATGGGAGATAATGTACAGTGTATTTATTAATTTATACGTTAATTTTCTCACAATATCAATTAGTATGTTACCTTCCTTTTATTTGGAAAAAAATGCAATGTTACTAATTTAAACTGATAAAGCTTAACATACAATCAGAGATGTTATGCATGTATTTCCGGTCCATGAAGATCGTTCAACACGACACAATTTTTTTGATTGTGGTACTTTTTGTTATTTCTTTTTTGGGAATGGGGGAGGGGGTTGTACCGCTTTGTTTCACTTTTGTGTAAATCATGAACAAAGTGAATCTTTAAGCACTAGTCAGTATATATACATGTTCAAAGTTCCTCTTCTTCCATTAGCATATATAAATATATCTTAGTATTCTTGCGACAAGAGCGTAGTTACTTCTCAAATATCAGCAGAGGCCTTAGAAATAATCATGCCTTATCACCCGGGGTCACTTACTATTATTATAACACCTTACGAACACGTGCAATGAATGGGTACTGCAGTATCTCTAATTTACAGATTATTTTTTATTACTTAATTGAAGGCTTTAATATTTAGAAATGATCCTTTTTGCAGTAAAATCTTTGTAGAATGTTTGTGTATTCTCATGATCTCTTATATTTTCTCTTTTTTTTCCAGCAACCGATATTGCATGTTACAGCTTTCAAGAAAACGAGAACGAGCTGTGTTATAACAATGCTGGTATGTTTATTGAATAATGAAAGAAATCACACCAAGTCACCAATTACTTTTTTAGATTTTATTATGGGAAGAGATTTAAAATATATTATAGAAGTTAACACTTTCATTAAGTGATTATTATTGGCTACATCGGGGTCTTTAAAATAGAAAGACCCTTACTCCATTAACCTGACAAAAATTTGCCTTCAAGTCGTGCGTGCTTGATCAAGATCGTTTTTATTTGTTTGGGTCGTCAGACCTAACAAATGATGGTAGCGAAATTTCAGACCCTGATGCTGTTAATTGCAAATGTCGAAAGTAGTCCGCTTTTTTGAAGCGGTTACTTCCCTTTATATGTACACTAACGCCGAAAAATTCAAGGGAGATCACTGCGTAAAGATTGTCAAATGACAGGCACATTAATTTTCAAGCAAAATAATTCCGGAATGGTCCAAAATTTCTAATATTGTTTTATTCTTTATAGATATACATGCTTATAGTAAGCTCCATGATTATTTATATCTGTGTTAAACAACAATTAGCGTCGAAATAATAAGGGTTACAAACCCTAAATTAGAATAATATGGTTTTCTTCAGGCCATTAAAATATAACTTCACCGTGGCCGAGGGGTTTGCACGCACGCTCGCTTAGGAAGCGAGAGGTCTGGAGTTCAATTTCCGTTTCAGGCATTAATTTTTTTTCAATTTGTTTAAGTCAAATAAACATTGAATTAAATATCAGTGTTGCAATTAGTCTTATAGCCAATTTATAGTCTGATTTATTGACCTGTCAATAATGAATACATTATAGAACTCATTTAAATATTCGATCCCACTTCGGTTTTGTCCGTTTATTTTACGAGAATTAATACTCTTAATTGTATATAGTAGTAAAAGTCGTCCTATAGGAAAATATAGGACAAAACTCTTCCGCATGTCCCAACCCCACACTCAAACATAACTTTAACACAGCGGACAAAGGAACTCCAATCAAATTCGACAGGGCAGATAAAATTCCCTCCTGTCAAATTTGACATGGCGAACACAATTCCTGTAATAAATTCAACTGGTTGAGGTGAACGAAAGCCCTTTCATCAAATACAGCAGGTCGAACAAAGCGGAATGGCTCTGCAAACGGTAACGCTAAACCATTATTTAATAAGACTGTCTTGTTTGTGAAATTAATTCCTTTATTCACACAGATACATACGCAATCACAACACGAAGTTTTGTATAGTTTTCAGAGTTTCTAATTGCATTGTCCTTATGAATTGTTCTCTATCCAGTTAATAAATTGTGATACTCTTGCATAAACATTAAAGCCAACAAAACAATTCGCATCTCCGAAGGACACAACTCCAACTAAATAAGCATTGCTTATTGTCTGTGCAGTATCACCATAACAAATTAATGGCCCACCACTATCACCCTGAAATATTAAACATTAAAATGAAAAATAAAATGTTGCATGATAAAGGCTCAAATTTTTATGCACTTGACTGTATTCCAATGCACCTATTTGCTATTAAAGCTGCATGCCTCCAGATGCACTCATGCTTTTAAGAAAAGCAAAAATATTTACAATCGAGGTTAAACTTTACGTGTTATAATAATTATGCAATGCAATGAATGACTGTTTTGTGTCATTTACCACCGTATCCAGAATTCTACTGCATGATCAGTTGGTTCTTTACTGTTACAATTTCACTTACTAAACACAATTTAATATATACTTCAAGGATGGGATATTCTTTAATAGTTTCGAACCAGACCAGGCGACATGCGTTTTTACCGGTTACTCGTTGCCATCCCTAGTTTTTAGCAAATCTTTTATTTAAGACCACAGTTAAGGTACAGATAAATGACTCACACTGCAAACACCCTGTAATCTGTCTTTCGAACACAGCATACTGTTTGTAAAAAGTCGCCAATACTTTACGGTGGCAATTAATGCACACGTTGAATTCGGCTGGATGTTCACTCTGACTTCTTTAGTTCTTGTAGGCGTTGTTGAAAAGTCTATGTTAAAAGAAAACGTTACATACATATCAATTACATGTCTACTAGAATTTTTCAACAGCACTCTATTTACATTAAAATTTAAATTACTCACAAGTTAAGATTATAAAACTTATATATACTGTTTTCCTGTTATGAAATAGTTATTAGTCACTTAATTAACTTAAAATGACATTTAATCTTTGTCCAACAAAAATATGGATAATGGATTAGTGTATATATCTTATTTTTCTTACTATCTACGTCCCCTATTCCAGCTGCGACACAATTTGAAAAAAGGGTTTCCTCCATGTCTTCGTTGGCTGCAATAAGTACATGTTAACATATAAAGACCTGTGATATAAAACGTCTCAACATGGCGGTATCGTGTTCTTAAGTATCTAAGGCGACATATTTATACGTTAAGATGGTTTACGATGGTTGTACATATCTTTCGTCAATTAAAAACATTCTCGAAAAGCAGTTGTTTAAAATTTTCTTCTTTCTTTTCAGAAATAAGAAAATTCATTTTTTATTATTGCAAGAACTCTACTTATATTCGTTAAAAGTCAATAAAGATAACTAGAGCTGCATACATAATTAATGATTACAACGCTTAGAATACTCACATATCACACGTAAAGGTTTCACGAATTTGTTGTAGCGAAGTCTTTTAGACAGCTTTAATATTGCAATATCGTTGTTAAACTTTGCCTCTTTTCCATACATCGGATGCTTCAAATAGAAATAAATTTTCATGTTACTCTGTCCCCACAGATATTCTAGTAGATCTATATAGCCTATTGATGTTTAAATAGCGTTAGAATGAAAGTTCCATTTAAGGCAAAGAAAGAATTTATATTTCAGCTTAGTATTTCAGTTTAAACTTTTAATCGTGTCCATTCCGTTACATTTTCTTGCAACAGTACATTTCGTATTTCGGGAGTACATGGATAACTGTATTTCGGATGTTTCATTTATTCATACATTGGTCGTAGCACATACAGCACAAATATAATTAGCCATAAGGTAAACTCTGATTAAGAATTCATGAAAATTCTCTGTTGATATGAATATGTGACTCTCCAGTTGATGGCAAATTGAATTAAAATTAAATTAATCAAAACTGAAATATTGTAACCAAAATCATTGCGAACTAACCTTTAATATTTTTCTAACTCTAATTTTCTGCTCTGATTTTTCTTTTTCCCAGACTTTGTAATCCCCGGCAACGATTTCATAGTACCTCTTTCTGAAATAGTAACCATCTAGATTATTGTAATATGAAAAGTAAGCATTGCAGGTTGTACACACATCTTGTCCTGAAATATGTGCATGTATCAATATTGTTACAATATCCTGCCATGAAATAGTAAAGACGAAGAAAGTTCATCTTTCTTGCCCAAAGAAATGGTTACTTCCAAGAGTGTTTAAATCTCTAACTCTGAAATAGTTATCATTATTACTTGATCATTGTTGAAATATTATACCCTGATTTTGTTATCATAAAGATGTTCAACTATCATGCCTCAAGAAATAGTTCTTATCAAGAATGATGAAATTTCAAGCCCTGAAGTTCCGAAATAGTGACCATCAAGATTGTTCAAATATCTTGCCCTGAAATAGTTGCCACAAAGATTGTTCAATTATGTTGCCGAAAGAAATAGTTATCATCCAGAATCTTCAAATATCTTGCCTTGAAATAATAACCATCAAAATTGTTAAGACATCTTGCCTTGAAATTGTTAAAATGAAGATTTCTCAACTATCTTACCCCATGTAATAAATTACTATTTTAGCCCGGAAATAGTTTATATTAAGATAGATGAAATGTTGCTATGAAACCATTGCCACGGCCGACGATTTTTCAAATATTTTGCCCCAATAAAAAGTTACCATCAAGAATGTTCAAATATCTAGCTCACTGAATTATCTGAGTAGGTACGTAAGTATATTTTTTCTAACAATACCTACACAAGCACGTTATAATTATATGGAATACTCATGTTAACATTTATGTTTACCGTTTTTTGGTTACACAATGAGCAGCAGTGATGATAGTTGTTGGGTTAATGATCGTCCCACCACACCGGAACCTTCCGCCATATCTTAATACAATTAGCCATGGATACTCTCCCTTGTCCGCGAAATTTCCTCCGACAATACGATGCTTTTCTTCACGCAGTCTTCCCACTTCTCTATTCTTGGTACCGTTGTCATCACCGGATGGAGCATTTGTGTCTATACTAGCCGCAAATAGAGAACCTTAAAGAAATCAGTAATTAATTAAATTTAATTTAAATGTGAATGTATTAAAACTTAGGTATCATAAATTTAAATGTGTTTGTTAATCAAATAATTGGTCAGAGTCTGTAACTTATGGAATTCAGTCGAGGATTTCTCAGTCGGAACATTCGTGTTCAGTCAAAACAATTGGATGTGAACAGAAAAAAATGTGTAATAGCATGGTAATCTTAAGGCCAACATTAAACAATTCTGGTCACTTTTTGGATCAGTAAACATAGAGTTATCCTTGTGTATAGAATGATTAACTGGTTCTTTTGTGTATTTGTGCCAATCAGATTGCAAGCATCGCCGCAGCATCACAGTGGCATCACCAGGATGCGGTTAAATCGTTTACATCGCCGACTGTTACTAGCTAATCCATAACGATTGAACTTCACTCTGGTCAGTGTGGGCGCAGTCAAAGCATAATGTGATTCTTAGAATGGAATGGATGCGCGGTGCTTGCGCAGACAATTGCCAACTAAAACTCAGTAGGAACGCAAATGAATGCCGCAGAAACTCTGTAGCAATGTCTTTGTCGACATAAAGACGCCATGAAACCTTAAAGGTATTATTAAAACGTCAAAAGTATACGTGGTCTTTGATAATCCGAGAAAAACGTTTCAAAACACGAATTTTGTTGTTTTATTGTCCTTTACATAAGTATCGCCATATTATTTTCATATTCACTATCATTTAACTTTTTATCTAAAGTACACATAAAACAGATATTAATGACCATTCAGTCAAGACCACATATTCCCTTGACTTCCTTTGGTCTCGTGATCATAGATTAATCCATCATGATGGTTTGATGTACGAGAACGTGACATAGTTCTGCACACGTTTTTTGTCAACGTCTTAATTGAATTTGTACCATTGTAAAAAAAACATTTTTTATTCCACTTTTTTTAGCTTAAGTCTTTTTTTCAATATGTTTTTTTCTTGTTTCCTTTCACTAATCTCCTTTCTCTAGCTATTTCTCTAAAATATTTAAAAACCATGAAAGCCAAAATTAGAAATAAAAACTAACCAGAAAAAAGTACACATAACAACAATTTCAACATTGTCACCGCCAGTTCCTCTTGTAACTACATGTAATTTACTTTTATTATTGTAACGCATTTTTATAAACGCCTCTAACCAAATGTCGTAAACATGATTTTATCATGTAAAATAATGATTTGTTTTCGCCATTAAGATCTTGTGCGCAAAATACGAAAATGTTGGTTTCGTGGACATTGCCTTTACGTAAATAAGTAAATCGTAATTTCGTGACATTATGCTCATTTCTTTCCATTGTCGAGTTGAACTGAACTGTCTATATATTTTAAAGAGTGGCTGTTATAATGGGAATTCAACAGTTTGTATTGGAAAATGTTTTGAAAAAATATAAATCTGCTAAAAATATAAAAAAGACTGCCCCCCCCCCACTTTTTTTTATAGAAATTGAACGTTTAAGGTAAATTAAACTCTTAAAGTCCGGTAGATATTTTAAAGAACTGCTCATTGGGTTATGTGAGTCATTTATTGTATTATGTTTAAACACTTATATATCTTTTGATGGGCAATATGTCACTTTAATAGTTTGTGAAATTATATGAGATTATAGAATAGGTAAACAAATGTAGTCAAATTTAATCATTTTGTTTGAGGTTTAAAATACCTTAGATTAAGTAGTATTGTTTGTTACTGTTTTGACGCATAACTCATAAGGTAACGAATATGTAGGACATTTAAAATGTATGCCCTAATTAAGCACAGTGTTTAAAATCTTATCTTAAAATTTTGCATTCAAATTAGGTTTTGTAATTTCTTTCGGTATGACACTCAAGCGCAATCTTTTACACGTATTGTTTTTGATTGTTTGTAATTTAAGGATTACTTTATGTTATGTATTTGTTTCTACAAATAACGGGATTGTTTCTGGATATAATCTTGATCTCCAAGGTTACAACGTGGTAGGGAGTCAGATCTCAAGTTTGAATATATTTTTAGGCATCCCGTACGCCGAGCCACCGGTTGGAATACTTCGATTTGCTAGGCCTGTTCCTAAAACACCATGGTATCCGTCGCGTTTAAATGCTTCTCATTATTCACCTGCATGTCCTCAATCCACATGGTTTCTCAGAAAGTGAGTACGATTAGTTTTATTATTTTCTTGTTGGTGGTGGTGGTGGTGGTGGTTTTTGTTACTGATATTTTCATTCAATGTTCTATACAATTTCTAGGAAACATAATTCATACAATTTTGAAACTTGAAAAACGTAATGTCTAATTTATTTCTTGTCTATTGTGCAAAATAAAGCTACACAGTTTACAAATTAATAAAAATTACACCAATCCAAGTAGAGAAGTGAAAAGCACCGATTCTTCTTTCATATATCTTTATTCTACCTTGTATAATTCAGTCTTAAAATGTAATTGCAATTTATGATACACAGACATACACATTTATATACAAGAATTATTGACAATTTGTTAATTTTGTTTATATATACATGTGTAATGTTGTTTTACAATTTTGTAATTTACAACAGGTATAGCTTTGACTCAAATTACAACAACACTGATGAGGATTGTTTGTATCTCAACATATATTCTCCACGGGTATAAGTTTCATTTGTTCCATAAATTACATTTCTTCTATAAATGATATAAAAATCATGTAAATTTGTGATAATCTCATTTATAGGTAGATTGTTTTATTATGTGTCTTTACTGGCTTTCTTCTTTAATTCTTTTATGAAGAAATAGTTTTGTTATTCCTTAACATTTCAGTCACAGGCTTATGATGGTTCAATCACAATCGTGTTAAGACAATGTCGTAATTGGCTGCAACTTAACTAACAACTGTCATTTGCACTAATTTTAATCTATCAAAAACGTCATACACTATAGATATAAATGAAAATTTACATGTTATTAATATTACTTTTATTATTTTACAAATATAATGAACTAGGATTTGGCGAATCCGAACTCAACGTATCCTGTTTTATTCTGGATCCACGGAGGGTCGTACAAATACGGTTCTGGGGCAGAATATGACGGAAGAATTCTTGCACAAGAAGGAGTTGTCGTTGTTACTATTAATTACCGATTAGGAGTTATGGGTATTTATGTTTAATAACCAACTCAATACCACTGAGGCCACTCTAGAAATTGTTTAAACTAAATGAGCCGCGTCACGACAAAACCAACATAGTGCGTTTGCGACCAGCATGGATCCAGACCATGCTGTTCGCTTACCAACTCTATTACAAGTAGAGAAACTGATAGCGAACAGCATGAATCCTGATCAGACTGCGCGGATGCGCAGGCTGGTCTGGTTCCTTGCTGGACGCAAACTCACTATGTTGGTTTTGTAGCGGCTCGGCTCAACTGTTGCTTATAGATATATAGTTTTAAACCAAACTATAAACTATACAACTCTGTGTGAAGTCAGAAGAATATACATTTGTCTCTTAATCTAAATACTAAACATCCCACACTAGACCCTACAGAAACAGACATAATAATGTTGCTAAACAGTGTCCCCAGTTTATAAGAAAAGAACAGAATCATCATTTTAATGGTCAATTTCGCTAGTTATAGCTTTACACACTTTAAGTGAGTTAGTCCATAATATATGTAATCTGTAATATCATAAATAATCATGTTGATAATATTTAGTTTCATTGAACAAGCCACGAAAATAAAGTTGTTGTTAGTGTGATATACATGTGAGGTACACGATCTGATATTGCATGGCTGTATAGAGCAAATACTAAATTATTCTCTAACAAAATATTATTCACATATAAAAATGTTCGTACTAAATCAAATAGAACTCTATCAACATTTTTTTTGTCCAGAAATATTTTACATCAAACTGTAAATGATACATTTATATCGTTTTTGTTTTGTGTGTTTTTATCAATATTTGAAATGTTTATAATTGTTTCAGGCTACAAGAATAAATTAGTAATTGTTACTTTCAATCCAATATTTAGAAAGTAAACGGTTTGAACAACACATCGTTTCAAAAATGTTACGATAAGAATAACGTGCACTGGATGGTAAAACCTAGATACATGACTTTCTATATAAAAGGATCAGTATTTACCATGTTTTCTTTCTTACAGATTGAGCATAAGACGTTTTTACATAACAAAATCGATCATTTCAGTTTTGCCAAAGACATGATTTCCCCGGAACACTACGGTTTCGTGGACCAACTTATGTTGAACATGGACTCAAGATAATGTCCGTAATTTAATGGGGTCCAAACAGAATCACAAGTTTTGGTCAAAGTCCGGCGAGGAGTGTTTAATTGCACCTGTCAAACGCTTGCTGAAAGGTATTGCTGTCTTAATCTCATACGTTTTGATTAAGTCGGTGTTACCGAAGATTGCAATAGACAAAATATTGTTTTATCAAATTTAAGCAGAACATTATTTTTCCTAATGACGTGATTTTTTTATCATAATATTTATAAAATAGTTTGTATAGTTGTTTTCAACATCATTTCAATGCATGATTGAAACAAAGATATTTCAAATGAACATATTCAAGATTGTATATAAGAATAGTAACTTAACTCTTACTGTTTCTTTACGATTAGTAAAGATTTCCAGTATATTTTACTTCTGTGGATGGGAACAACCAAATTATTGTTGTGATGCTCTAAGAGGTTACACTTATCGGCCTCCCTCTAACTTATAAGATATCCCTCAGTTTTATGATAATGTTGTTATCTTTCTTTTAATAACAGGTCTCTTTAACTCCGTAATCGCTCAAAGTGGCTGTTCACTTAGTCCATGGGCTATTTACCGGCCACCTCATAGCATTCGGACTTATTCGGAGACATTGGCAAGGGAAGTCGGATGTCCAACAAATTCTTCATCTGATCTTATTGATTGTCTCAGATCAAAGGATTCGAATCTGCTAATAAACGCAATTGTTTTGGTAGGAAAGTTTTATTACACAAGGTAGTGATTAGTCGTTTTACACTTTAGACGAGAATATTGAGATGAACTTATTACATAAAGAAGGGTCATCGTTACATAGTAGTGTATATGATAATCAATTTTTGTTATATTCCATGTAAAAAAGTAGCCCGGTAACATTTTATAATCATTTCTAATAAGTTTTGGTGATCATCTTCACGACAAAAAAGTAAGTTATCAATTTTTTCCTATTTAGTTCTAAACAAAAAGCCAAACTTATTTGAACTGAATTCGCCGGGGTTTTTTTATTGCTTTTTTTCTTCTTAAAGTGATGAAAGGATATAACATCCCAGAACGGGTGACTTTTATTATGACGTATGATCATTACTGTTATGGCCAGACAGATACAATCATAAGATAACATCTGGGTGGGTTCATGTATTGCTTGTCAAAGAAACATACATTCTTTGTATGCCAAATAGTATATAAATAGTAATTGAATTAATTGCCCGAGGAAATTACCTATTGGTGATTTATTAATGGTGTCTTTAATGGGTAAACATTATAATTATAAATGATAAACAGATTAGATAAATAGATACATTGTAGATGTATAATAAATAAATAAATAAATAAATAAATAAATGATATAGATTGAAAATAAATACATTTTATCAAAATTATTACTTCATTCGAAAAATCAGATACACGTTAGTTTACTTTTGCATGTGCTAATACAATGTCAGAAGAATCGATTCGAACGCAAATACAAAGAATTATACAGGGAGTCTTGGTCAGTGTTCCAAGTATGTGGATTTTATAGACACATGTAACATATAGGAAGCAAACGGTGATGTTTAGCTCAATAAATGAGACAACCGAAGTTAACGCATTAATTCGGCGACATTTACTTTTTTAATGTAAGACCATCCATATATATGGTATTACCTTTTCGTTTGTTTATTTAATATCGTTCCTACTTTCCTGATTATTTTTTTATTTACCAGGGACCCCCAATGATTTCGGCGTTTGCTCCACGCGTTGACGGTTATTACATACATGACTTACCGGAAGTGTTGCTTGCACGTGGAGAGTACATCCGCCACGTCAATGTTCTTAATGGATTTTTACCGGATGAAGTATCGGAGGATTTCGGTAATTTTCTTCGATAATTATCGATTTTTTACAAGAGATTTCACAGAAGATATTAAACTGATATGTTGTAGAATAGATACATATATACAAGTATTCATATATAACTTATATAATGCACTTCTTCGTTACATCATATCTGACGTTTCAGCCATTTTTACAATTGCTCAACAAATATGCGTCGAGACCCGAAAATATGCGCCGAGATCCGAATCTTTTTGAAAAATGAGAATGCCAATGACTATTTCACACTAAATAAAAACATTATTGTGATATTCTTTTTAGATCAATGTATAATAATATTATATATTATGTTTTTATTCCAATATAGAATCGGAACCTGGGATCGACGACGGGTTAAGTATGAATCATTTAGAACAACTGTTTTACACAAAAAGCAGACGGTATTTGACAAACGCAGATGAAATATTCACTGCCTTAAAATGCGCTTATCCGCCCAGCAACAGTGACAAAATCCTCAACAGGGATCATCTTATTAATGTAAGTCTTGCTCTTTTGTAAGATTGCACGTTGAATATTAAATCCAATATAATTATATATACACCTGGAAATAAGTTGAGCACACCCCGGAAATTTAAAAAGCTCTGTCATGAGATGACGACTTAATTGAGCTAAGAAATGGTAATTTGGTAAGTATACGTATAGCGATACCAATTTAGTAATCATAAATCAGTAAATTTATGAGTTTAGTTTATTCTGGACTTAATTATTGAAGCATAGGCAAATATTTTTTTTTTAATGTATATGTTTGAAAGTATGGTGTTAGAACGTTTACAAAACATTTACTGGTGGATATTACTGATAAATGTTGACAATTACGTGACCTCCTCAATCCTTCTACTCATACTACCAGTAAGGCGTCTTTTGCGATTTTGAGGTAAATTTTGCCATTCTTGGCACAGAGCTTGGTCCAGTTGTTGCAGGTTGACTACACATTGCCCAAATAAAATGTTTAATTTCAGTTGTGGTCATGTCAAAATTTGGAAAATGCGGGGTGTGCTTAACTTATTTCCAGATGTATATATTAATCAAATATACATTTAAGAAAGGAGTGAACTAAATAAATGAAATTCACACACTAACAGTTCTCAACAGACAAAAGCAGTGAAATTTTATTAAATAGAAAAATCGTTTACGTTTCCTTCAACTAGCATTACCTTTTAGAAAAAAATAATATGTCACAATTACCTAAAAACCATCAATTCCATTGAGCTTATTTACATTCAAGCTTTAATAATTTTGATAATCTTTTTATTTATTTTTTTTCTTTTCTTTTAGGACTGTCCTTGCTTCCCTTCCTTCTCAATATACTTAATTTTTAAGATAAATTAATTAAGAGTGTATAACAAATACAATATTTTCTGCTTTTGTTGTCATTTTATATTTCCTACCATATTAATAGTGCCTTTATTTTTATTTTTGTCACATCCAAGGTGCAACATGTCACGACAGGCAGGGGGTCGTATGAACATGTCTGCGGATGTTTATTATTTCATAATTTTCGTGTTTAAATATTGAATTCTGTTTAAGCCGGTGCTAGGGAGCGTGGACGATAAATTGCACTTTCCATTACAGTCTATGTATGGGCTCAATCAAACCGAGCCAGCAATATTTTTGTCGTTTTAGGCGTTCTAAGGGCATTACTTCTTTTCTCTATGTTGGTATAAGCTGCCAATCTTTATCGTCAAAGCATAATGTCAACCACTCAGTTGGCTAGTGTTTGTTAATTCAGCATTGGTTCCATTAATACTGACTAACAAACACAAACCTATACTAGCGTAAATGACATTATTTAATGATATTTTCGACAGAAAACTAATTATTGTTTGTTTTAATGTAGATGAACTCGGATTATGGGTACGTTGCACCACATATAAAACTATCACAAAAGTTGTCGGCAAAAGGAGAAAATGTATGGATGTACGAATTTACGTACAGGTCAGCGAACTCATTAAAGAAACCATGGATAGGTAATGTTCTTAATCCCTCAATCCTTAGATTAGTACCATTTTAATATTCCTGTCTTTGCAAATAGTTCATAATCTGAAATACATGTACACATGTATACTGTTATACCTGTAATGTACAATGTTTCATATTTACGTTTCTGACTTATGATAAAACAAGTCGGGCATTAACGTCTTCTTTTGGTTTAAATATTGCTTATAAACTTTGATTTACTTTTCTATAGAATTTGATTTGTATTGTAGGCTTCCTTGAAACGATTTTATTTACTTTTTTGTTCAAACATTCAGGCGTTCCTCATTCAGAAGAACTATACTATCAGTTTGGTGCTCCATTCTTAGACGTCACGCCATGTCCGAACTCACGTAACGTCACGTGTCCAGTCACGTGTGGAAAATACCAAAATTGGTCGATAGCCGACAAGCAAGTCAGTCTTGAAACAATGAAACTTTGGACAGGCTTCGCCAAATTGAAGTTTGTTATCATCATCATTTATTACTTGTTATTAACAATTTGCTTATAACAGTGCTTTTCAGACCGATATTCATTGTTGTACGGGCATTTTTGAAATGACTAATAATTCAGAATACGGTATTTTGTAACAATTTTATAATTCTCTTGCCAGACAAGTGGTCAATGTGAGGCTTGATGAGTATGACCCGACAAGGATATGAGATACTAAAAGTACAAAATAACACCAATTACATAAGCTGTCCGTTGATGTTGAACTCTAATTTCGTTCCAAAATACAAACAAAACAGATTTGAACTTATAAATGTACGAGTATTAGAAATATTATTGTGGATATATATTCCTAACATTCTTTTCTATTATTTCAGACAGAATAGTGCTATATTTCCATCTAGTGATGAAAGCCCTCATAACTGGTCACAATATTCGCCTGGTGAAAACATTCTGAACATAAGTACAACGATAACACAGGAACATCTCCGAAAAACCAATGGCGTTCGTTTTTGGGATAGTTTTAATTACCTGAACCTTTCTGAACACATTCCAGATGTCTGTCATTCGGAGTCAAGTATACTTGTAGGGAAATAAATCTAAATGTTTGAAAATAATGTGTGTGTGTGTCTTTTAGATAAAGATCAAATGTATGTTTTTTCTGCTTTATTTTATAATAAAGGCTAAACACTTAATTTATTTTTGAAAAGGAAAACAAGTTATAAATATTCATAAGTTTAAAGTTCTTTTTTAAGATGTATGTAGAAAACATAATTTGAAAATAATAATTTGACAACTATTGACCAGATGGTTCGACTAAAGAACATTAGCTTGTAAAATAAATTCAATTACAACCACCAATAAGTATATATATACCATAGTTCATAGACCTGAGCAAACAACATTTCAGAGCACTTGTTACACATTATTGATTTATTACTGTAAATTCTTCTCCCAGTTTTCACAATTTAGGTTACCCATCTTCATCATTAATAAGTGGAAACTGTGAAAAGTAGCCCTATGTATCAGAAGGAAGTGAGCTAATGGAAACTTAGATAACACTTTTTGATATTTGATCTATTGTTCAAAATATTTGGATCATTCTATTTACGCATACTAACATTTGTCAAAGACGATAACATTGTCAACTTTTGGTAAAAACTATCTTTAAGATTTACAGAATTTTAGTTTGGAAAGTAATGGTATAAAGCCTTACTTTAATATCACATTAATTTAATTATATTTCAAATAATTTTATACACTATTTCATTACTGTTAATATTTTATCCGATAAGTTACTAGTAATCACTATTGATGAGGAAATACTTATACGCCAAACTGGTATTCATACCAAGTTTCCCCAAGTTTTCCAAGTTTTTTTTTTCTAAGTTATGGAAAACTTGGTATACATGTACCTCTATACCCTATACTCTGTACACTAATTAGTGCTTTAAGAACATACAGGTGTTGCAAACCTTATTTAAGTGTATAAAAAATAAAGCCAAAAATTGTTACATTGAAGACTATAGAACTAAATAAATAATGCATTGAATAGCCAAGAGACATCGTTAATGTTACTTTTCAAAGATACATCTTTTTCATTTGTTTGTTTGTTTGTTTGTTTGTTTCATTTTACGCCTTTTCCCAACAGTATTTCAGTCATATAGGCGGGTAGTTTCCGAACCATCGTTCCTGGAGAGTTACTTTAGTACTAAACTACCTTCCTCCGCGCTAAACTACCAAAGCATCTCAACGTCAGAGAGGTAACTTGATTAGAAGTCATCGACTCTAACCCCTCGACCACGGAGGCCATCTTTTCATAACAAGGTAGTAAAATTACACCAAACGTCATTAACTTAAAAGCCATTCTTTGACCGGTTCGGAAATTGATTTCCCTTTTTTGGTATATTATACGAGAATCTTTCGAAAATGGTGTTTTAAAAATAAAGTTAAGACTACATGTATATGCAAAGGGTGTATCTATTGAACATAAAACAAAAGTGAGTGTAAGTAATAACCTTCATGCACAGCGTCATCACTTATTACAGAACTGCGTTTTATTTCTTAATTACACACAAACGAAAACAAATATGAGTTTGAACAGCATGGTAAACTGATACAGGTAAAACTATCACACGTAAGACTAACGCATGTAAGGTAAAAAAAAAACATTTAATATGGACGGATCTTCAGTCAATCCCGACTATGTGACTTTGAAAGTCTACTGACAGGAAGGTTGGACATTTTTCAGACATGAGCGACAAACATGACAAACAAATATTGAAAATAGAAGTTAACATTTACATGTATATACATTGTTATTACGAATGAAGAAAATCAACAAGATTACAACAAAAAAAGTACTTTACAGAATACTTAAAAGAAAACAACGATTGTTTAAAAATGATACAAAGAAGTCATAAATTTATTTCATGCTTTCCAGTGTTTTATTGTAATATATCAGATGATTATATTCTGATAAACCACTAGTGAAATTTATAAAATATAATTTCACTGTAGCCGGACTATATTTGAATGCGGATGAAAAGAAAATCATAACTAAATGGAATAACAGGCAGAAATAAATGCCGTCATACGTAAATTTTGCTTCTTTAGGAAAAGAAAGTCGATGTCACCATACATCATGTTTAAAATGTAACAAAATTAGAGAAATCTAACAGAACTATATTTCAAAATTGATGATGTGACGTCATGATGTGATGACGTCACAAAGGAGAATGCGCAACGTTACGCGGCAAAATCAGTAAAAAATACTTAAAATCACTTAAAAAGCATGAAATAAAAAGAAAATTTATTTGTTTTACATATAAGATTGAAATATATTTCATTCGTGAACACCAGCTATTATATTTTCACTCGTGGCTACGCCACTCGTGAAAATATTGCATCTGGTGTTCACTCAGTGAAATTATATTTCAATCTTACATGAAAAACAAACAAATATCCTCTATATAATACTTTCCGTCACAAAAAAGAAGCTGTATGTAAACATATATGAATATAATTGTAAATGAAAGATTGTTCATTTTAATTTTAGTTCATTTAATTATAATTAAATAACAAAACATAGTCATGACCTTTACACTATAAAGTCTCTCAAATGTGCCACTGTAAATGTTGGGAGAAAACCCCTTTTTGGCTTTTTAAAATACACTGTATTAAAAATGTTTCTCTTTTCTAAATAAAATGCAAAGCCTTTTTGAAAAATAAAAAAAAATGTTCTATACCCAATACATCAAAATAATCCTGTTAATTTTCCAAGTATGCAAAACATTATACGTGTATTTGCTTAATCGAATTATTTGTTGTATAAACAAGTATCTTGAAAGGACAAAACTCCTAGACAGTACACATAATTATATAATTTGGTCATTAAGGAATTCTAACAAAAAAAATGAAGGTGAACATTTAATGTCACTTTCAGAAAAGTCTCCATTATTTCTTTGTTATTTTAACAGTATTTATAATATGTACTTATTATAACTACACATTTTGACATGTTAACAAATGTTTCTTTAATTATACAAATAAAGGAAATCTAGTTTCAAACTTTCGAAACAAAAATATGGATACGAATTCTTAAGTGCATTGTTAATGTTAATAATCATTGAACCCACTAAACATCCTACCTCCAGAAAATATAAGCCAAAATTAGAAAAGACTTACCAGAAAATAGTACGCATAACAACAACTTCAACATTATCACCGTTAGTTCCAGTCGTAAGTAATTCTATTTTATTTTTGTAATGCACTTTTATAAACGCCTCTAACCAAATAGAATGATTTTATCATTAGGAAAAAAAATTGTTTTCGTCGATAACATTTTATATATACAAATAAACCAGTCCAATACGTGGAAATTGCCTTTTACATTTTCAACCTATTCCTAAATCTTGATGACAAACCACGTGACGTTTTCTGATTTGGATGTGGCAATAACCAAACAAAATCCCGTCCAGGTCATAACTCTTTCATGATAACGTTTCTTCCTTTTCAACCAGTTTCTTTTTAAGGCACAAAGTGAAGAACCTGTCATTGTAATGATAATCCATATATAAAATGATTATTAGGAAAAAGTCAGTGTTCTTTTTTTTCTCGTAAAGTTAAAACATGTAGTCTATGTTTTTGTTACTAGAGTGAGCGTGTTCTCTTTTCGATGAAATGACATAGTATGCTAAATCGCTATGTGTGGGATCGGTGAAAATTAAACATAGATCTAGAACAGCATATTTCTGTCCGAAACTTATATAAGATAGCATAGTATAGTTAAAGATTTTGTCGCTTTAATTATGATGATAATTATGCCTATAATTTTTAGACATTTATATATCTAAATAATGCTCTAAGAAAGATTAATTATGCTAATGCTATGAACTTCATCAAAATTTAAATTTAATAGTTTAACATTTATTTCGAATTAAATTAATTATTTTATTTGCGTTAATAAGAGGTCTTTTAAACGCATTGCTTTTTTATTATGAATAATGTAAAGATTACTTTATGTCATGTGTTTGTTTCTACAATCTGGATATAATCTTGATCTCCAAGGTTACAACGTGGTAGGGAGTCAGATCTCAAGTTTGAATATATTTTTAGACATCCCGTACGCCGAGCCACCGGTTGGAATACTTCGATTTGCCAGGCCTGTTCCTAAAAAACCATGGTATCCGTCGCGTTTAATTGCTTCTCATTATTCAGCTGCATGTCCTCAACCGAGACGATAAGTCATGTTTCCGCCTCGTTTTATTTACTTATAAAACTATATTTACTTTTTTCATTCACTATTGATATTTGTTATACCAGGTACTTATTTGCATTATTTTTGTCCGTCATTACTGCTGCCGTGAATTTGAAATTTAAATGATGTTTTAAACACATGAAGTTGAGTGATTACTATTTCGCTGAACAGCATTTTCAAATGCCACACGATCAAGATTCTCTGATCATTTTATCATACGACATAACGAATTTTAGTTCTGGAAAAGGAAAAATATCAGGTTTGATTGAGTCTGTTTATGAGGGATTATGGAAAAAATGCAACACCCATAGCACCGGCGAAAGTGGTATACGATCTTCAACACTTGTGCTGAAATCAATAATCCCGAAGGACCAGAAAAATATAACAATAGCAACAAAACGCTCAACAGGGATGTAAATCTTGAGAGAGCTACACGAATTTCTTATTAATATTGACAATCATTTCTTATTTCTATACTCTTAGTTATTTTTATTTATATCTTTTTTTTTAAATTTTGTTTTCAAATAAAATTATTTCCCTTAATGCTATCCATGTAAATTAAAAAACTCAATTTCATCATACATTCTGACAAGATATTAGAAAACATGTAAATCTTTCTTTTTTGAAAAATTAAAACCACTTACCATAGAAGTATGAAAAAAGTTTCAATGTTTCAGTTTTCATTTCTACAATAAAACTTTTTTATACAGACCATCGATTTTAACATTTGTATATTAAAGCAGTTTCACTACTTCATCAAAATATCCCTTTGAATATTATACAAGTTTCATTTAAATTTTCAAATCTATCTTTGCCCGTGTCTCACTTCTCTATTGTTAATTTAGATGTTCTCAGATTATGGGTACGTTATACCGCATAACAAACTATCCCAAAAGTATGTGTTCAAGTATAGGTCAGCCGACTCATCAACAAACCGAGGATTGGTAACTTATTTTGTCACTTACTTAATCTTTAGATCTGTTAGATTGTCGTTTTTTTTAAATCTTTTGCCTTTGCAAATAGTTCATAATCTGAAATACATGTACGAGGGTTGTCCGGAAGGTTCCTATACATCTTCGTTGCTGACTAAAACAAAACATACGTTTTACAAATTGAACAACGGCATGAAATGACTCATTGCCGGTATACGTGTTTGTGCCCATCGTACATTGAAATAGTTTTCGCCAGTTATGTATAAACACTACATTCTTCATATTCTACGTTCCAGAACAGTGATTTGTTGCGTCAAACATTGATCTTTTCTTTGGTTCAGATGATTTTTATTGACTTTATGTGCGACTGCAATTTTTATTCAGTTATTCAAACATTTTAGGTGTTCCCCATGCACAAGAGCTTTACTATCTGTCTGGGACTTCATTCTTCGCTGTAACACCGTGTCCAGACTCACATTACGTCACGTGTCCAATCCAGTGGAGAACGCACCAAAACTGGTCTTATACCGACTACAAACAATGAAACTCTAGTCAGACTTTGCCAAATTGAAGTAAGCAATCGTTATTACATATCATTTTTAACGTGGCCATTGTACCCGGCTCTCTAGTTAGATGCAATATAGCATGTCAGAATGAACTATGGGTAAAGGGAAGTAATTCAATTTCAATTTTACAGAAACGATATTCAATGAAGGGGAGTTTGAAGGCAATTTTGGATGTCTATAGGCCGTTATTCATTATTGAAGTTATTTATTATTCAGTCTGTGGAATTTTCTGACACTTTATCATACTCATTCCAGACAGGAGCTGGTATATAAGATTTAAAGATGCTGCCGTTACAAACACAGATACGCTTGTTATAAAAGCAGCTTATTGCAAAGCCCAACAATTTGTGTGCCGGAGATCATTGTACGACGGTCGCCCTGCAGTAAAGACCGACATTTTACTTTTTAATACATTATCAGATTTTTCATGAAAATTAGCATAAAAGTGGAGACATGCCGCTTTAAACATAAAGTTGAGATTATTTAGCCCTTACTTGTAACAATAAGACACAAAGAAAGGTAGATATTTTATACTTTTATTAAACAATTCAAAGTACAGACTTAAGTGTAAGTAATAAACCTTCATGGCACACCAACATCACTCTTATTTCAGAACTACATTTTATATACCAATATTTCACACAGACGAAAACAAACATGTGTTTGAATGACACATGTAAAATCAACACATTTAAGACTCATAAATGTTAGATAATTTACGATCATGAATGTAAGTAACTGCGGTGTAGCAAAGAAAGTTTAAGTAACAGTTAACTATCAGTAAAAACTATTGAGAAACAGAAGTTAAAACATATCTAGCTGTCATGTTTTATTATTACAAATGAAGAAATTTTAGACAAAAAAATAACAAGAGCATCGCATGCGGTGTGAATGCTTGTCTGTTAAACAATAACCAATTTTTCTAAAAAAATGAAAGACAATAAGTGGAATAACTCAAGAAATTGACCTTTCAGAATTATGTCCCTTGTCTTACAACTGCACCTTGTCATGATGAGCAAGTATTCCAAGTTTCATGACGATAACTTTTAAAATGTTTTGAATAATGGACTACATTTAAGTTTTTGCATGACATCAATGACAACTACAATGACGACGCAGCCATTGCAATAGCTAGACTTTTTCTTTCAAACAGACAAGCTAACAAGAGCTGTCCGTAAGACAGCGCGCTCGACTTTTTTATTGCTTGCCAATAAAAAAAGTTTTTGCAGTAAAAGGCAATACAAGAATCTCTGTATTTTTAAAGTGAACAATGGCCATGAGCATTAAGATATTTAGTGAAGAATTATTTTACTGAATTGTGTGATACCCTTGAACACTGCAGCAAAGTTTGAAATGTTTAAGTCAAAAGAGGGCTGGTAAGAAAGAAAAAAAAACTGAGTTGAGCCTTAAATAAATTTAATAGTATTATACTACTGATTTTAATTTCAAGTACAAAAAGAGAAAAATAACTAGTTGTTTGATACCCTTGAATATTACAGCAATGTTTATATGACATAATTTATGGTAAAGTGAACAAGTGGATAGGAATGAATTTTTTTTAGATTTTTTAAGTTTTTTAGTGCTTGCCTATAATACAAAACATTGACAGTTAAGGGCCATAATTCAAATAAAATCTTTGACAGAATTACCTTCTCCTGGACATGTTTGGGAATCATGATTGTAAACAAGTATTCCAACTTTCAAATTAATATCTCAAACAGTTCAGTCAAAAAGTGGACTGGTACTAAAAAACTTAACCAAGATTCTAAGTCGATAAAAGGCCTTAATTTTTAAAACAAATCCTTGACAGAGTTACCTTCTCTTGCGTACAGATGGGGGTAATGATGTGAAATAGCATTAAAAGTTTCAAAGCAATATCTCAAAGGGTTAAGGCAATAAGTGGATTTTACCCATATTCAATGTATTTTCTAAGTCAAAAAGGGGCATAATTCTGTCAAAAACCTTGACAGAGTTATGTCCTCTTGTCTGTTGATGAAGGTCGTGATGGTAAACAAGTATGGTCAGTTTCAAAGCAATACCTCCAATGGTTTTGAAATAAAGTGAGGTGGTACAAAAAACTTAACCAAGCTCAATACACTTTCTAAGTCAAAAAAGGGCCATAATTCTGTCAAAAACCTTGACAGAGTTATGTACTCTTGTCTGTAGATGGAGGTTATGATGGTGAACAAGTATGGTAAGTTTCAAAGCCATACTTGTAATACTTCTGAAATAAAGTGGGGTGGTACGAAAAACTTAACCAAGGTGTGACGCCAACGCCGACGCTAACGCCGACGCCGACGCCGGGGCGAGTAGGATAGCTCCCCTTTTCATAGAAAAGTCGAGCTAAAAAGTAGTTCAAGTTAATGTTACATTATATAAAACTTGGAAGTATAACTCTTTTACAAGATGTAACATTTAACAATTGAAGGACGTTAAAATTTATAATTTATGAAACCTACAAAAAACAGGACTATCTTACATTTCATACATATAAAACACTGACAAATATATAATATACAAATGTCATACATTAACCATATTTAGCATATGTATAATATGCAGTGTCAACTTGTGTAAGAATAATACATACTAGTATATTTATACTAATTAAAATTAACACATACAAGACAAACCCATGTGAGATCATTCATGGATCACTTTTGTTAGTAACGTCACTGGGGTAGTTATCTAAAATTAGTAAATACTACAGTAAACAAAATGTCCACATGTTTTTGTCATGTGCTTATATATGAATACTTCGTCACTTCAGTGCAGTAACGGGTTAAGCCCTTCTTAATTTAATAGGACTTAACCCAGTTATTGCACTACAGTAACGACTTGCAGACAAAAAAGAAAAACTTCTAGTTTAATATAATATTTAAGGCGATGATGATGATAATAATGATGATAAAGATGATGATAATGATGATAAAGATGATGATGATGATAAGGTCCACGGTGGCTGAGATGATGATAATTATATAATAATTGATAATGCTCATAATGATATTGATGGTACTGAAAATTGAGTGAACTCTGATATTGAAAACCATGATGATGATGATGATGATGATGATGATGATAATGACAAATTTAGTAAAATGGTGCACTGTTAATTTTAAAATACTCAATTAAGGTCAATACAAAAATGATCACATTGTTTACTATGATACTGAAAGCAAAGAAAACAGAAAAATAATACACAGAAATAAAACAAGTTCATTGAATTGAATTGATATCCTCATCAAAATGATACAAATCACATACTTGAAGATTTTGAGTAATTATGTACGAGCCTTGCCAAGCACAGGAACATTCTTTAACAAAGGGCAGTAACTTCAAAATTATGCAAGAGCGTTATTACTGTATTACTTTCTTTGCTCACTTCATAATATTTTACCTTTAAATATACTTTCAAAATAATCTTGAAAATTAGCATGAATATGGAAAGAGGCATGCTACTTTAAGTCTCAGAAATGATTTTTTTTTCTTTCTGTAGAAAGGCATTCATGGGCTTTATAATGTTCTAATAATAGATTTAGGACATGTATAAAACTTAATTACCTGATGAATACAGTGCCAAAATGTGATATGATTTGTGATATAAAAGGTAGCAAAAAATGAAAACAAAATGGTACATTGACTTCCATACAAACTACCAAATCACTATAACTGTACGAATTGCTAAATCACAAAAGATGGCTCAACTTAAATATACTGGCAATGAGTAACTTTTAAGAATCTGCTACAGGACACCAAAAATATAAAGCTTTTGAAAAAAGAAAAACAAATAGCTATATTGAGACTTGATGGGTCTTAAATGGTAATTTGTGAAATTTCATAATGAAACTATACAAAGTAGTTTAAATTACAAAAAATATTAGTGCTTATAAAAATGCGCTGTATCATATATCGTTAAGCAAAGAAAAATTGTACATTAACTAGAAATTTAACTCTTAAAAGTAAGCAAGAAATTAACTTGTCAATAAAATTACTGTGCGTTTTGTTGATTTTCATTGGTCAATCATGAAGTTTACGTTTCATGTAAAAGTTACTGTATAAGTTCTAAATGACTGCAAATTTTTAAAATTAGTCACAACAATACAAAGAAAGGATTTTGCAGAGTCAATAATTTGCTATAAAATCAGGTTATAACTTGAGCTGCCACAGGAGCGACACAGGATTTTATGTAGATCCATTTACCATTATTTCTGAAGGTGAACATTTGAGTTAAATGTGAAAAAAAAGTTTGTCAAGGGGTACAAGAATAATGATTGATACTGCGGACACAAAATTGTCTTACATTTGACCTTCAAGGGTGACCTTGACTTGAACCAGGAAAGAAGTGGCATGATGGGTTCTGCACACCACCTTGTTGAGTAAAGATTGAAGAAAATCTCTTCAAGACGTAAAGGATTAATAGCGTGGGAATGGTGGAGTGGATCCAACTGGCAGCCAGACCCACAGGACAAAGTGGTTCCAGTGGTTCCTACATTAATGTGGAAGGGGGAGTAATTATGAATGTGTTTAAAAAAGCTATTGGCTACGTAAGCAGCAAAGTATAGAGGTACAACCTTTAAAACTACGCCCTGCAATCTATCCAAAAAAAAAAAATTCTATAAATAATATTAATGAACTGGTAAATTAAAGAATAACAGTATTTTAACAGGAGTCAAAGTGAGGTATTATTAATATGTCATAAATTAAATTTATAACAGTACAAGAGTACAAATCAAAACTTCATATACAACTACTTTACATCGCTGATTCAATTCAACAAGAATACAATAACAAAAGTACAACAACAAAAATACTTTACACGTATAACTTAAAAGAAAACAACAATTGTTTTAAAATGAGACAATGAAGAAGTCATTATATAATACTTTTCGTCCTACAAAAAATGAAGCTGTATGTAAACATATAAACATTTAAAAATTGATTGCTTATTTGATCTAAATATATATTACCCTTTTATAAAGTAAAGCATGCAAAATTGCAATACATATTGTGTAGCTTAAATAAAATCCATACTGGCAATACCAAAACATATATCGTGCAATGACATCAGCTAATAGAACAATTTTCAACAATTTAACTTATCAAAACATTTCTTCTTTTAAAAATCTCTGACTTCCAATATATTGCGTAATGGCATAATAATGAGAATGAAACAAAACTTGAGATGACTTAAATATAGAATGAGATACAAACACACTTAAAGCATTTTTATATATAATTGTAAAAAAAATACACCAACTTTGATGATCATGTTAAAAACGGAGACTTATCTGACCAGTATAAAGCATTATACCAAACATTGGTTTGTGGTCTTCAGGTGGTGGACGTGTAATGCAACAAAGGTTTATTGGAAATTAATATATTTAAAGTTGTAAAAGAACTGGAGATCTCGTGATTATAGGTGGTCTTTAGCTAAAACCTTTAAAATATGAGTAAATATATCTTTAGTATTTTCTTATAATAATTAGCAAAGTACTTTCTTATAGGCATAGTTTTACATGTACATTCAGCATGATCTATTGAGACATCAAAGTAAAAGTTATCGTAAGATCTTCACAGAATTGCTTTACACAAATAATAAATGATAAAATGACAACTAGATTATCCTCAAATAAATAGGCATAAACACTTCACCTAATATTCTGTAGTTTTGGAATTTGTAAAGTAAAATGGTATAGCATTTGTGAACAAACTTATCATTAACTGCATCTGTTGAAAAATTCCATACATATACGAGTGCTTGTATGTATATACACATTCCAAAATCTTTAACAAGTGTTGGAGTTTTATAAGTAATGGTTAACTTAGCTATCTACAATGCACTGATAATTCACAAAACAAAGTTTTACCAATAATCCACATATCAAAGTAATCACCTATGCACTGTCCTGACCTTTAAGTCATTATACAATATAAGAGAATAATTGAGATAACCCGTACCTTAACTGGGTCATTTTAATGTAAACATTCATTTAATATGCTTAAATACTTAATGTATATACCATAAAAATTACCACTTAAGAAACAATTATTTCTTATACAGTTTTTCATTATTTCTTTTACTGAATTGCCATTTTTACAGGTATACATGTATTTTAATGACATGACTACCACAAAATGTATTTAAATTAACCTGTTTCTAATTTTTCTAACTAACATATCCTAAGGGTGATGTCAATTTTCCAGGTAAGCAAGACCTCATTATTGGCCTACTTGATAAATTTTTGATGGTAAAAACAAGTATCTTGAAAGGAAAAAATCAATCACATAATTTGCTAGACATTCATTATGAACATAAAATATTTGGCTCTTCAAAAATTCAAACGTAAATTCTTTGAAAATCAAAGAAAGCATAAATTCTAATGACTTCGGCACTGCAGCCATAATCAAAAAATATCATATTTATACAGTAGTGGTTTAACTGGAAAAGAGAACAATTATCTAAATATAGTAGTAATATATGTTATTCCGAACTCAGCAAATGTGGGTTTTTCCAAGCTAATACCCTAGTACAAACAAACTTTTACTGTTATAGCTTCATGGTGCACCTTTTTTGCTTATTTTCGAAATTGTAACTGTAAAAATTTGCTTGTACCCTCGACTTAGCTGGGAAAAAACCTAAAATATTTCTTATTCTGGATTTAGTCTATTGGCTTATCTTATCTACCGGTAGTCTGTAAGAAGTAATAGGTTAATGATAATCCAGATGCTGAAGTGCAACAATAATGTTTCTGTCATACTATAACTTATCTTTGGGTCCAGTTGGCACACAAATATAACATATTCTATCTGCATACACACTTTATGAGTGCTGCAGACAACAAAAGATCAATTTTGATTAGCACAGCAATACATAAATACTCCTTAATTTATACACATACCTGAATGTTTGAGTCAGGAAACAGATATAGTTTCTAGTATAACATGAGCCGCGTCACGACAAAACCAACATAGTGCGTTTGCGACCAGCATGGATCCAGACCAGCCTGCGCATCCGCGCAGTCTGATCAGGATCCATGCTGTTCGCTTACGAACTTTATAACAAGAAGAGAAACTGACAGGAAACAGCATAGATCCTAATCAGACTGCACCTATGCGCAGGCTGGTCTGGATCCATGCTGGTCGCAAACCCATTATGTTGGTTTTGTCATGGCTCGGCTCACATATTTTCAGTATACAACAACATAAGAAATTAACGACATGTATTACATAACATTATACTCAATAATAACTAAAGGAAGACAAAATCATCAATCTATCTCCCATTCACTCTTTAGCAATAAAAATAATGTAAAAATGGATAAAAGCAACTTTTTCACTCATTATTAATGTAATAATTTTACTTTCAACACAATATAATTATTTATCATCATGAACTATACCTCTATTTCATAAAAATATAGCAGAAATAATGTCATGTGTTTTTCTACATATTTTCAAGAGTTATTTCATTTACAAGTTTAAATTTCTGCAAGGTCACTGCTAAGAAGTTACAACATAATCATATCCCATAAAGAAAAAGTCCCATTATTTTCTCTATACTAACACCCTACAAATGTACACGAAATTTATCATACTTCAAATACAATGCTCATTCATAATGTTTAAAAGATTTGCAACATTGGAAATATAATCAAAAGATATGGCAATTAAAGCTAAAAGGGATTTTTATCTAATTATTTAACAATCTAATTTAACAATTCTGGGGGCATAAGGTATGATTTCTTATTGTTCTTTGTATAATCATGTAATTATGCTAACAACATTCTGCAAATAAACTGTATATTGTATTGTATTGTATTGTATTGATTATGTATGGGAGAGAGACTATAAAATTTGAAAATAATCTAAGCAAAAAGTTCTTTTGACTTTCAACTTATACACTCACCATTTACCATGGCATGAGCATAATGTTGATTCAATCATTGGTGCAGCAATAATAACATTTGAAGTTAATTCCAATCTTAGATAGAAAGGCAGCTCACATAAAGAAAACTTGTAATGAAGAAAATGAAATGTAAACCAAGTGTTACACAGAAAATCTGTCTGCGGAAAATTGATACTTTAGATGTTTGATAGGAATATACGACGCAATTTTGTAGCTTGTATAAGAAATTTCTTTGATATATACCAAAGTATTTCGTGCATAAAAAAAGATTTTAAAATGAAATAAGCAGTATAACACTTGACAATATCCTTGGATTCTCATACACATCAAAACACAAAAAAACACTTAAGAAAATTTAATAATTTAGATCCAAAAGAATGCTTAAAAATTCTTAAAATGCCACACAGCATTGAAGAAACATATATACATCAAACAATACTAAAACAATTCATGCTCACTCGAAATCAGACTTCTCTTTCAACTATAAGATGTACACGCCTCTCTAAAGACTGCTCATTCATTACACAATGCCTCAATAAAGCCATCTTTACAATATAAATTATATATTGGAAACTTCATAAATAACAATTACAAAACTTGATCTTTGGAGATCAAATATTTTCAATTATTTGCAATGTCATGTCTAAGATTTATTGCCATCTAAATATTGACCTTTTCAAAAATACAGCCTATCAACTAACAGATAATGACATTTCAATTTTTATTTCAAATGTTCAAAATCTTGCTACGTAAATATCAACTTTTCTTATCATTCAAAGGGGCTTTCTCAAGACTTCTTTTGTTACCTATGGAGCCTTTGTTAGGGACACTCTCAAGATTATGCGTGATTTCCATTGCAAATGTTCTGCTAAATAGTTAATGTCACTCTGAAGGTAAATTGTGCTGTCTTTGATGATGTTTCTGAATTTATTGTTCCTGTTAAAATATATCAGATATATAAGGAAACTGTTCTGCATATTCCTTGTTGTAACGTACTTTGGTTTATTCAGCTTGTTCACCAAATTCTACGCCTACTTTTACATTTGTAATTCACTTCTTACCTGAAATGATAAAATAAATACATACATTATAAAGCATGAAATGATAAAATAAATACATTATAAAACACCTGAAAGTTTAACTGTGAAAGCTTGAATGCCTCTAATAATATAAAAGATTTGTAAATATGTGGATAGTTATTTCTGCTTTAAGCAATATATAGAGAAAGAAAATTTGCAGTTAAATTGGGTTTTCATTTCTTTTATTGATGCAATAAAAAATAATCACACAAAAAGCAGTAAAGTCTCAAAGCAAAATATTGTACTATTGTAAGTCATGTTAATGTAAATGATACCAATCTCAAAACTGTCTCAAAGTTTGTAAAGTGTCAAGTACAAAGAAGATGTTTTAAACTTGTAATTGCATATGCATGTAAAGTATGCATAAATTGGATTTTTGAAAGGATGAAATCTTAAATTTAAATGAAGACACTTGAGTATGTTTATATAGTTCATGTACACATTCTACTATATATATATATAAGTGAAAAGTTGAGTAAAAACAAATTTTTAATACATCTTGTCTGAGATATATTGCTAGCAAAGTTCATAATTCTTCATGGAAATGTAGAGTACCTAAGATCATTAGGCAACATTTTGGGCTGTCACTTATTTTAATATCACCCTATCTAACCTCATTTTAAAATAAAATATAGATAACCCCGATTCAACCTACACACCCTTTCAAGTTTTCTTATATAAACTAACTGCATTCAGTTACAGTACATTTAATTGAAAGAAATTAATTATATTTCTAACATTCAATATGACAAGGCCAGTATCTTTACATTCATTACGATAATGCAATCACATCATAATGAGGTCATGTCTCACATTGATAGTTAATTCAGTATGACCATGTTTATCTCCTATTATGACAAAATATACTAGACAGGTGTGTCTCTGCCATAACTGATTCATTCAATGCCCGTATTGACTTATTGACTGTCTATTGTATCTCTTATCAGTCTGAGAAATCAATGATTCATAAACAATGTTGCCTTTATATCAACCCTGAACATGCTCAATATTTTAAACTTCCATTTTTGGAACTGTCCATTATCAATTTTAGGGATATTGATTTGAATGTTTAAAGTTTGTCAGCCAACAGTATAGAACCTGGTCAGACTGTACGGATGAGCAGGCTGGCCTGGCTCTATACTAGTGGCGTTACGCTTTTGGTTCCAGCACTTTAAGGTTAATATAGATTCAAATTCCATCGAACAATGAAACTCACTCAAATAACAAGACAGCCTGCTCGATTATTTTCAGTGCTTGACAGTAATAAAAGTGGTATAACTTAGCTCTGTGAAGAGGTATTTCAGAGTTATGGGACCTGTGCCAATCATGTCAGATAATCACAGAGAACAAGACAGAGTGTGAAGTTTCAACCCATTTCTTTCAGTAGTTTTTGAGGTATCCAACCTGCACGAGAATACTAAACCCAATGTGTGATGCGATGCAAGGGCGTGTACAAAAGCTGTCCAATTCTACCAATACCTGCATAGTTTGACCTGTACTCCTGATAACCAATAGATCAAACTTATCATATTCATGTGTGTTAACAACTGAGCTGTCACACTTTTGAGTAAATGGAAAAGACAATAGTACTTCAAAAGTTCAGAAAGTCAAAATGGTCATTTTTCCCTTAGGGGCAGAATTTAAGTAACTTTTGTTATAACAAATCTACCATAAACTCTGTACATGCTGCTAGCATAGCACCCTTAAAACTTATCTCATAATTATGTGATATCAGTGTCGATATCGAATCATTTCATCAAAACATATTTACTTTTCAAAGAAACGCTATCTAAGCTTGGTATGGTGATAAGTTCATTCTTGATTAATTTTATTTCCCCCCACAAAAGTTTTTTTATGTATTCTTTCAAGTGTATAAAGCTAAATATCTGCTTCAAAAGTTTTCATTTACAAAAGATTTGCAAACTAGAAAATACCCGTATCTGTATTAAAGAAATTTCTTTGTAAATATCTTATGTAAGATCAAATGACACAAGCAAGAAATCATTGCACAATGTTTTACTGCAACATAATAAAATTTATTCTGGGACGTTTCAGTTTACATTACAATATTCATATGTGTTAAATAACAGAGACATTCTATGTTACAACTTTGGAGAATTGGCCATAAGATTTTTCATAACAATATAATTTATTATTTCACCATTGTGAACTTTATAAAAATATTTGTCAGAAATATAGCTTTATACCCATTAACGAACTTCGTCATTTCATGTATATGCTCATTATACATGACTGTGAAAAGGGAAAAAACATGTGTACTAAGGATATATAATGGCCTTATAAATTGTATTGAGTTATAACTGAATGCTCTGTATTGAATTTCTAATTTGGAAATATTGTGCTGAAATACTCCGCCAAGAACCAGATAATGAGGTGGTGGAAATGACTTCATATATATAATATAATAAAAGATGCTGTTAACAATCTTATCAACATAATTACAACATACATGTACAATGTACTAGAATATTTCATGGTTTTTATAAAACTATATATAGATAATTATTTCAGGTTTATATGATAATCACATTTTAACTCTAGCTAACCTAGAGGTCAAGTCATGATGTTCGAGATAGTCAGACATATCACTGGCAACATTCTAATGTTTATTCAGTATATGTTGAGTAAATTGAGTATAGTCGTACCATTATTTTAATACCCTTAAACCATGGTTTTTATCTAAAAACAAGGTATCCATCTTTAAATCCAGACAAAAAAACATTCAACATTTATAGGTCGGATTTCTACGTCGCACAAATACAGTATAGGTCATATGGCAACTTAGTAGCTTTATTGGTGGAGAAAGACCTCAGGTGCCTTTTCGTGCATTATTTCAGGCACTAACGGGCATGTGAGTAGAACCAGCGACTGTCCATAAGCTAGCTAGATAGCTTCCTCACATGAAAAAATCTTAAGTCCCTGTCGAGGTTCAAACCCACAGCAGTGAGCAAATGGTTTGAAGTCGATGACATTAACCACTCAACCACAGACACCCCAGATTTTTACAGGTAAATTTTCAAAATATATACTGTTTGAATAGCGACCAGGGTAGACCATGATCAAATGGCAAAGCTGTGTAAGCTGGTTTTTGTCTGCACTGGTAGCATGGGCTGTACCAGTTGCCGCCAGCAGGTTTAGGGTTAAGATCGTAACACAACCATCTTATTTCAAATAGTAAGAAAGAACTCAAACAGTATTTGTATGTTGAGTCAATAAAGTCTTGCCTATAGATGCTACCAATACGGAACCAGACAATGTGAATGTGATATCTATAGGTAATATATAATCATTAATAGCATTATGAAATAAGGTACAAATAATATAAAAATATGAAACATTACAAGGACGTACCTGATATAAATGTATATAACTTAAAATGTTGATGGTTCCAATGATAACATAGCCAAGGTACATAAAAAAATTCAGGAATTCCTGAAATAAAAAGCATAAACATAATATAACAAAAATTACAATGTTCAACCTACAATGTACTCAAAATAATTTAATTGCCTTTCTATGAATTGTTTGTTAACTGAGAAGTATCATTTTACAGACAGGAATGAAACTTGAGTGTTTGGCATGTCATACGATTCTTGAAATGTTGAAGGCAAAAGACAACAAAAGACATTTCAATAATGATGCCACATTATAAGTTGACATACTAATTTCAAAACTGTATAATTTCCTTGTACAAGTATAGCCTTTAGGTCAAGTAAAACACGAGTCGGAAACCATTGACCCCTGCCGGAAACTGACTGACCCCAATTTGAAAAACAAAATGCAAAAGATTTTACCAGAAACACTGACATGTGCTCTTTTGTTAACAAATATGATGCATTGAAATTCTTATTGTAATTTACAAATCAATTAAGTCAAAATGCTAATTCAATTCAAAACTGATCATGGTTATGCAAAAAGAGTTAAAACATATCAATCATTAGATATTGAGAGTATAAAACTTGTGTCAGAAGGACTGGCAGTATCTTACCCAGATCCTGTCCACAAAGACGGCCAAAAGCACCATATGAAGCCAGGTCTGTCCCTCCCATATCCTCCATATGTATATAATAAACCAAGTACTTCCAGAGTGAAATGCCTCTGTCTGAATTTGCTGAAATCATCATAATGATATTGTTTATATATAATTTGACAGCAGAAGTAATTGAGTCGCGTCACGACAAAACCAACGTAATGCGTCCGCGCAGTTTGATCAGGATCCATGCTGTTTGCTTACAAACACTATTACAAGTAGAGAAACTGATAGCGAACAGTATGGATCCTGATCAGACTGCGCGAATGCACAGGCTGGTCTGGATCCATGCTGGTCGCAAACGCATTACATTGGTTTTATCGTGACGCGGCTCAATCATTATACCGTATAAGTGTTTTTTTCTGCGGTGACTTTATTTCTGCTTTTTCTGCGGTCAGTTTCAGCACCGCAGAAATAAAAACCGCAGAATATTTTTCCTTGTTTTTTTTAGTTTTATTTTTAACGATATCTGTCCTACATTATGACCTGTTTCATCTAAACTAATAACGACTTACGGATTATAACGGGTCATCGAGTTACATAAAATTGCTTTCGGCTAAGTATGTAAAATGTGCTTGTAAGGATGTACCTATTGTTATTTATGCCAATTTATGAAAAAGATATTTAAACATCATAGTGTTTGACTGTACGCTAAAAAAGGCTTGTTAACCACTAAATAATTAAAACCATTTTAACCCTTATACTGCTAAATAATCGTCGTATACATTAATTGTTGTCTGATTAACGACAAACTTCTATTAATTTTATTAAATCAAAGATACTACTGGGGTGTATTTTTCACACGTCATTTCACACTTATCAAAAGATGCATGCTGTCTGTTGTTGCACATTATATTTGTTTGCAAGCAAACAATATAATTATTTGTAATTACTACAATATAGTTTTGCAGTGACGACGATAAACAAAATTTTAATACAGATGTGTACATGCAAATAAAATAGTTACAGTAACGTGAATTAGACTTTGATAAGATGAGCCGCAGGATTTAAATCACATTTTGTCCAAAGACTATGCCGTAGAAATAAAGACCACAGAAATAAAAACATGCCAAAATTTAGAAAAACCGCAGAATTTGGAGCCCGCAGAAAAAACCACTTAAACGGTAACTTAAGTTTTAATATTTTCAGATTTTTGTCACCTCTTTATACATCAAAATATAACTACTGTGTATGCTGAGTAAGTCAAGTCTGCCTCTATTCCAATTTGTTGTTTCATTCATGAAAATTTTAATCTTAATAAAATATCACATTGTCATTAGCACTGTCATAAGGTAAATTTTCAGCTTTACTATAAGGTAAATTTTCAGCTTTACTATAAGGTAAATTTTCAGCTTTACTATAAGGTAAATTTTCAGCTTTACTATAACCTTTATAAAACACCTTGGAACTGGTGCTCCTGTGGTGTATTTTAGGCATAAACAGGCGTTGTAATGTCCCTTGCAGGATTCAAACCTACAGCAGTCAGGTACAGTTCCTCAAAAACAGTGACCAGAACAATTGGGCTTTACATGACATACATGTATATCACAGTTTGTCAAAGTTTGGCTGCCAATGAAATCACTCTATTTTGTTTAAATTTTGTCAAAATATTTACAATCTCAACTGTATGTATTAAATTTATATGTTAAATGAGCCGATTTAATGGACTCCGATTTTTACATAATGCACTTGTTTTTTAAAGGGGTGGGGCTAACTGAAAAGTCGTTTATGGTTATATATGTCGTTTTTAAAGGTTAAAATATAAAAAGTCGTTTAAATGGGTTATATAAACAAACCCTTTTTTCCTTCATTCGTTCGTTGGGAAAATTAATTTTTTAAAAACTCTGTTTAAAAATGTCCAAAAGTGACAGGACAGTCAGATCATCTGGCACATTTAAATCTTTTAAAAGTTTATAACAAAAATTATTCAATTCAAACATTAGAGAAGACTTATACAGTACATTTTGTATCTCTTAACATGAGTGAAAATTGTATGGCTCAATTTATCTCTAAACTTTAAGTCTTTACAACAAAAAAACTTTTAATATATATTATAGCATTGTATAAGAATGCTGTACATTATCCTGAAAGAATTCGGTCATACTCTGTTCAAAAATGTCATAACCAGACATACATACAGGTATACTAGTATTCACAAAGATTAATTTGTTATGAGAGACTCTCTACCTAAAATCAAGCCAAACCTTTGTAACTTCACAGACTTTGTTGTTGTGTGCTAATTTTTTCTAACTACTGCAATGTTATGCAATTACAAAAACAGATCCTAAAGACCTTTATGATGGATTGTGTTCAAAATTAGTATGGTGGGATTAGTAACAATAAAGTTCTTAATGGCTGAGAAAGATTAAATCTTAAATAGATCAATTATTATATCCCAAAATTGAGGATAAACAATTTTTTTCTCTACTTCTTATTTCTGTACCAGACAATGCATGTCCCAAATTAAATCCAAACAAAAAATCCTAACTGTCAGTGCACAGTTATTAAAAGGAATTACAATAGAGCTAATACACTGTATTTATATTACATAGAATATCAATTGAAAGATTTTCAGTCGGATCAAAGTAAAGCATGGCTTAACACTATTATATTATATTTCAGTATTCCATTTACAAATCTGATATCATTTAAGTAAACAATGTATCGATTTACAGTAGTTTTATTTACAATGCCTGTGTTCAAATTAAAACTTTCAAAACATCATCAAGTTTGAACAGGACAGCAAGACTATGTCACCATTATGATAGAAAATATACATACATGTATATTATAAGTTATGCAAAATTTCAATTTATAACTTTTTAGTATAATTAAGTACTGTTGCTCAAATTGCTAATGTTAATACCCCAGTAATCATTTATAAGTACATTTACACAGAAATTTTAATTCAAATGTGGCCTTAAGAATAAGTTTTTGAAAAATCCTGCCATTGTATAATATTACAGTATAGGAAATTTGATAATATATGGTTGGTGTGTAAATAAAAATATTGACCCATATTAAATTGACCTATTATTGAAAGGAGTTATTGCTTTTATTTGAAGAAGCAGTGTTTACTTGTTAATCAATGACCTGTAATGCGAAGTTGTCAACTAAGGTAATATATCAAGTGGTTCTATATATTGGTCCACCATTTTTAGCAGAGGAACGTGTAAGTGTTTCCAATTTGTAAATCTAAATCTTTCAATAGAATTAACCAACCTATTTTCAAATTTTCAAGAATTCATGGTATACTTTTAAAAGAAATACTGTATCCTTAAATTCTCTGAAAACAAGTTGAGGCTGGTGAACCAAAATGGTAATTTTCTGAGTTGTGAACTTTGGGGCGGGGTTGAAAAAACAAGTTGTCAGAGACAATAGTCAAATTTTGAAATCTGACAGTCACTATGAATTTTTGAACACCATTTTGGGAAATTGAGTATTTTTGGTGATTTTGGACACATCAGTATGAAGAAAGAAAGAAAAATATACTAACTGTAAGATTTGGGTCCGAAAGATCTGTTTGGAATACCTCGGTATATCGTTCCACGCATTTATCCCAGGAACCACCTGCCACTGCTATCATTAATCCTACACTTAAACATCTTAAAAAGACGTACTTTTTAGTCAACGCAACACCACCATGTCGCTCATGGCCCGTTAAAATATTCAAAATATTGAAATTAAATTTTTTATTTGGTGAATTATTTGGCACAGGGCTTGTAGATCCACTGTCTGACTTTGTTAACGGTAAGGACGAGTAGTTTCCATTTGCAGGTATTAACACTTTCCAGAGATAGAACATTATACCAACCATTAAAAATATGCCACCTAATATATCACTGTATATGTCTACAAAATAACCGAATGTATTGTGATTTGAAACATACATTCCTTGCGTGTGGCTATGACTCCTGTATATGACCCCGTCGAAATCATCTAGCCAAGAACGGAACTCGTATAAAAGAACTGCTATTCTCCGATTACTCAAATGTTCCGATGATACCATTTTCGCTGATACCATACTGACCATGACATGTGTAATACTGATCATGTTTGGGGTTACGAAATAGAAAACTTTACTGAAGTGCGTAATTTCGTCGAAATATTCTGCCGTTGGGCCGATTATATAATGATTCACAGGGTCCGTCATCAGTAGTTTCATGCTTAATGGTTTGAACGGTGAGAAAAATCCAGGAACTGCAGGATCTTGTTTAACAAGCGACATTTCTTGTACTGTAAAGTACAGATGCGTATCCATGGAAATGAAGAATGCCAACATCACTACGATGAACACAACAAATAAAAACTTCCCATTACAGGTGAAGCTCATTGATGAATACGATATCATTTTGCTTCCTCCTTTCACAAACTCTTTCAAAAAAAATCTGAACTGTTTTTATTTTAGACTGCACTTATTACGTCCTTGTAAAGCGTGACTATAGATATGTATGAACGAAGAAAATATCCAGTTCAATTATGATGTCGCCTTATGGTAAAACTATAACAATGACTAGAGACCACTCAAATACTTTCAATTCAATTCCACTGGTATCATAAATTAAATGTATCACAGCTATTTACTTAAAGTGTATCAATAAAATATCATGTTGTATTGTAACGTCTTCACGCACACTGTCACTACTTGACGCGTCTATTCGGCTTAATAAAACAAAGAGGTCTTTTAAACTTGAGATATTGACCTCGGCACTTATTTTGTTTTATCAACCATTCAACTGTCGATTTTGATAAAAACTTTGCCTATATTTTTGTGTTATCTATAACACTTTATTAAAGTGTAAATCACATGTTACAACATGCTCAAATCCTACTGTAGGATATCAAACTACTAATCTAACTATCAACCAATAATGACAAATGTGTCGAAATTCATATACATGTAGGTCAGACTTCTTCTTGCCACTGCTCCTTCCTGTTTTCACTAATGTCATCCAACAAAATTTGTTCACTCTTAAAGTTGGCCGTATTGCTGGAAATAAATAAAAGATACAAATTTATTAAATTAAAACTTTCAATCGGAAGAAAAAACATGAAAGAATTCTTAGTGCAATATATCAAAGATAATGAAATGGGTAAAATCAAACAAACAAAAAATAAAGGAAAACTTTTTTATTGCAGGCTTGATAAGTAATATATAGTCATAACATTTTTAAGCTTAATAGTAATAGTAAATACTGTGAAAGTTACATCCTGTTTTATATTTGATATAGAATTCCAAAAAGATATACATGTAAGAAAGATATAAGTTTATATGAATTAATCCCCTGTACAGTAGAAATATTTCAAACTTTATAATCCAGAACACACATCTTTAATTGAATATCATATAAAATTATGTAAGAACAAAAAAAACAACTTTTCACAGAGTCTGAACAAAAAAACGCACTAAATACTAACTACCATGCATATAACCACAGTGAGAATCTAACTTTAATGAAATGTAAGTATATTTAGAACAATCAACTCCAGGTACACACATGATATCATACGATATATATATACATGAATAACATGATTACATGTACATTTTACCTATATTACTTACTATTTTACCCTAGCTCCCAAAAAAGCTGGTTTAAAAAATCAAATTATATACACCATGTGATATGGGCTGGGGTAAAAAATTAAATGGGAAATTTTAAAACCATGGTAAAACCCTTTTTAAAGTTTTTATTATAAACTTCATGAATAATACACAGGATATACTCAGCTAGCACTTACTTCCTGGAGTTAAAGTACATGTACATACATGCGAACTGTTTTTGATGATCAAGTGGGAGATTTTTCTTCAAAAAGAGGGAGATTTTAGAATTTGCTATAAACAAAGAAGAAAGTTCTGATATAAAAAATAGGGAGATTTCTTAAATTTATAAAAAAACCCCTTCAGTGGGAGTCTCCTGCTTAAAGTGGGAGAGTTCACATGTATGCATGTATAAAGTCATACTTAAGTACCAAGATGAATTTATGTTGTTTATTTATAAATATATGCTCGTTTATTGAAAGAATTGTTACATAGACAGTCTAATTTATTATTTATGTGAATTACTATTCATGAATATTGTATGTAAACAGAATAAAATGTTCCTGCTTCTATTTTTAGCAAATTTGACGATGATTTCACACATACCAACTCACTTTCAATTATATAATTTATATACTGATAAATTTCTTACTTTGTAATCATTTTTATAACAATATAATGATGAATTTTACAATACACACTAATTCAGAGATAAAAGTTTGATATATTATTTTTTGTCCAATTGGATTGCAGCATTTCAAATGAATCGTAACACATTTACTTTGGTAAACTGGTAAACTGTTAATCAGTCAAGTATAAAATCGACTGCTAATAAAAATAATTTAAAACACTAAGTTGTTTAAAATTTATTAGTACATAATTACAAAACTTTAACCTATACAGTTTTTATATAAACTGTCAACTTCTGTAACAATTCCATAAAGTTTTACTAAAATTGTAACATCACTTTTCTGAAAATCTAAAGTTATATATCAAATCCCCACTCTATCCTATTACATCAACTATTCATAAACATTCTATAACAAATAAATCATTGATTCACAAACAAAATTTGAACTGATAAGAGTGTGGTGACATTTTTATTTAATTGAATGTTTGTGATATTGAATGATACTGTAAGAGATTTTAATTTAAAGTCTTAGGTGGATCTTGAAAATAAAATCTGAAAGCATTCATTGTATAATTTATTGTCCCTTTAAAGTGTCATTAATTTTCTCTTGAGATTTGTTTATACCTTCACAGCAAATGTATGTAAGTAATAAAATAGACCCCAACCCCCTTCCCCCCTCACACACGGTCACCATACACATTTAACTTGATTTCAGGTTTATTAATAACCTATTAAAATTTAAATAATATACAATGACACTTTAAACATCATTTTAAAATACTGTTGTTATGTATGCAACATATTACATGTATATAGTTTGTATCTGACCAGTTGGTTTTTCCAATATTATCATTGTTCTATTTTTAGAACATAAACTACATGTATGTACTAGAAGGTTCTTAACTATTGTAGAAAACTCATGCATTATATTTAGATAGAAACTTCTGGAATGATCTTTATTGGTGAAGTTGCTAGATTATGATTACTGTAGTAAATGGAAGACTATTCTAGAAACTTCTTAGTTAATATATATAGATTGACATTTTTCATTACCTTTACCTCTTTAAGTCATCAGTTACCTTTTTAGTCATCAGTGATCTTTTAAGTCATCAATATATTTGGAGTATTATTCAACTTGGAAATTAAGTGATTTATTGGAGCTTGGATTATTAATTATTCTTGTGGATTTTATTGTGGGAATTTATTCTAAAGTGTTCTTGGATTTAACTTGGATTTAACTGTGCTATTGAAAAAGGATCATTCCAGGATCAGACTAGACATTTGTAATTTTTATTTGGACTTCAGGTATTTGTAAACATAATTTGTTATTTTATTTTTCTTTAATAATTTTTCTGTAATAAATTTGTTATTGTTACAAGTTTGTTGCTGGCTTTTCTTTCTCGTTACGCCTGGCTCGTAACAGAAATGGGGGCTCGTCCGGGATTGAATATTTCTTTTTGGCTACATTATTGGAAATTATTACCGTTTATTTTACATTTTATTATTACCGTATTTACTCATCTGAGTTGATATCATAGTTGTTTCTATTAAGTGTACCTTTCATTTTGAAATTTTTGAAACACATCACTTTCTGAGTTTAAAACCAGCAGCAAGCAGTCATGTCTTTTAATTTAGAAAAGTTTGTAGCTGAACCTTCCCAGGAGGTATTAGATTTGGCTAAAAAAACTGATTTGCTTGATCTTGCAAAAAAGTATAATTTATCAGAAATTAAATCTTCAATGCGTAAACAAGAAATTAAAAATCTTCTGATTCATTATTTTGTGGATGAAGATATTTTTGGACAAGATGCACTTTCTCTGATTGTTGAAACAAACCCAGAAATTAAGATAAAAGAGCTTGAACTTCAATTTAAATTTGAACTAGAAAAAATGCAATTAGAAAAAGAAAGGGAAGAAAGGCAGTTACAGTTAGAAAAAGAAAAGGAAGAAAGACAGTTAGAAAAAGAAAGGGAAGAAAGACTGTTAGAAAAAGAAAGGGAAGAAAAAGAAAGGGAAAGACAGTTT